GGGTGGGGTGCCCTTGGGGCCTCGGATCCCTGGGGCCTGGGACTGGATCCGCTTCGGGGTGGGGCTGGGTGTTGTTCGGGGATTTTCGGGGTCGGTGCCGGTGCCTTCGCTACGATGCCGGTTCCTGGGCGGTGTTTCTTTCCTATGCCGGTTCTGTGGTATCGGTTCGGGGAGGGGGGGAGCTGCGCGGCATGGTGGGGTGCGGGTCTTGGGTCCTGTTTTGGGCTCCGGTTTTTCCGCTCGCACTTCTCCTCTTGCCTATTTATTTTAATTGTAATTATTAATTAATTTATTTATTTACCTATTTATTTGTTATTTTTTTTTTTTTTTTTTTTTCTCTTCCTCGGTGGGGGGGAGCGGTTGCGGGCGGGTCGGTGTCTGGTGTCCGCTGTCGCATTGTGGGGGCCCCTTTTTTTTTTTTTTTTTCTCTTTTTTTCTTTGGGGGGTTTGGCATGTCTGTTTTCTCGGGGGGCAGGCGGGCCTGCTGGGTGGGGGTCCTGCTGGCGGCGCGCCGCTGGTGTGTGGGGGTCCGGGCGGCTCCGGCGGGGGTAGTGTTGGGGGGCCGGTCTGGGCGGGCTGGCTGCGCTGGCTGGGTATTCGGGTGGGTTTTCCCTCCTGGAGGCATGGCGGGGCTGCTCTGTTCCCACTGATCGCGGCGGGTGGGGCTGCGGGGCGGGTGTGGGCCTGGGGTGGCTATGACCGGCGCGTGGTGGGGGGCCGGGGCGGCGGAGCTGCTCTGGCCGCGTGTCGGGGCCTGGTGCGGGCTGCGGGGGGGGTGGCGGACGTGGCTGGGCTGCTTTGGCATCGTCCGGTGGGGGGGGGCGGCGCGGTTCGCTCCGCTCTGGCTTTGTGCTGCCCCTCGGGCTGCTGGGGGGGGTGGTTGCGCCGGCTGCGGTCTGCTCCTCTTGCGGTTTTGCGCCGGGCGGCTTTTCTGCTCTCGGGCTGATTCTGTGCGCGGTGTGTTTCGTTGCGCGCTGTTGGCATCGGTCTTGGTGGGGTGGGGCTGCGCTTTTGGCCGGGGGGGCGTTTTGGGGGGGGTCCCGCGGCGCTCGTGGCCGGTTCGCGGCGGATGCGCATGGGCCCCGGCCGGGGGCGGGGCCGTCTTAGTGTTTTCCTGGGTGGTGCGGTCGCGGTGGGTGTTGCGGCCGGTCGCCGGGGCTTGGTGCTGGGGGGCGGGGCGTGTTTCGGTGCTCTGTGGGGCTGGGGCGTTTCGGTCGGCGCCGTGGGGGGGCTGGTGTTCGGCGCCCGGCACTACTTCGGGGTGGCCGGCTGCCGGCGGGGCCCGCGGACTCGTCCCCGCGGCTCCCCGGGGCGCCGGCATGGCGGTGGCTGGGGGGCTTCCTCGTGGCTGTCTCTCCTCCTGCCTTGGTGGGGTCTGGTTTCCGGGGCTGGCCCCGCCTTGGTGCCTTCGCTTCTGGGGTCCCCTTGGGCGCCTGGGGCTTTGGGTCTCCCGGCGCTGGACTCAGTGCTCTGGGGGGTGTGCCTCTCCGGCTCTCCACAACCACTATTGAGCATTTTTTTCTATGGTTAAAACTTTACATGCACAAGTTCACCCTCACAAACAACTACAGGTGCTAGGCTTCAGGTACTTAGAGATTCACTTCCAAACAGAAACCCCACATTCATATCTTCAGGTAACACAGAGTACATGTCAGACTTAATAATATTACTTTAGTGATAGTTTCAAGGTGTTTGCTTTATTGTATATCTCGTACCATGTTTTTTGGTTGTGCTGTTCTTTTTTCTTTTTTTTTTTTTTTTTCTCCATCTCATTACAGGTGTTGAAGCAGACTGAAAATGTTTTGTCATTGTCTCCTTCCTATCTCCTCTTTCTTTCATCTTTTGTCCTGTTTTTTTCTTTTTCTTTTTCCTTCTTCTTCTTCTGTTTTTCTGCTCTACTTACATTGCAGTGTCCATATGAACTGTAAAACTCCCTGCATAATTATAATAAAGCAATTTATATACATGAAACAAGTGGAGCGGTATGGCAATTGCGATACCGCTACACTTGTGAAAGTAAAATCTGTTGGGCTCCTTTTGGCATCAAGACAATTATTCTTATTGCCACCTTGCCAGACAGGACACTGTAAAAAAAAAAAAAAAAAAAAAAAAAAAAAAAAAAAAAAAAAAAGAACTGCTAGTTCTCGAAAAGAAATCCTCTTTTAATGGAAAGACAAATAAAAAAATTTAATTTTTAACAATAAATAAACAAAATGTTATTGTTATCAAAGCAATCGTGATTTAGTTAAAAACAAACAAACAAAAAGGTCAAAGGGAGGTGTCAGGACTCCAGGTTTTGTGTTCGTCTGTTTGTCTCGTCTTTGTGTTCTCCCTTCCACCACCAGGAGGCGCCTGGTTCCGGTCCGCCTCCTCACACACCTGCGAACGGTTACCTCATCACCGGACTGCTCTTAAGCTGCTGGTTGCAACTGCCTTGAAGCCAGAGTGTTTGCCTGTTTGGGGTACTCTAGCCAAGCATTGTTTATTCTGAGTCTAATCTGAGTTTTTGTATTGCGAGTTTTGTACACTAGCCAAACTGAGATCTTTAGAGTTTGACTGAGTGCTTGTCTCCCTGAGATTCAACTTTGTTTGTTTTTGCCTTTCGGCAGGAAGCCCTCCAGCAAATTGGACCTTTCCGGACCGCCTCTCCCAGGAAGGATCAACTGAGTCTTACACTGAGCGACGGATTCCAAACAGGAGGTTTGGATCCAGCCACCTTTGAAACTGCTGAGATTACCCACTGAGTAAGGAAACCATTTTCACCACGACCCGTTCAAGTACCACAGGAAAACTTAGTTGCAACCAGCGTCTGCATGATTCCTCACCGTCCGAGTTCTGGGTAAACCCTGTTCCGCCCTTCACCGAATCAGACAAACTCTGGAAGACCAACACACAGACTGGAGTCAAAGAGTCTCTTCTCTGGAAACGTGAGTCGCAACAAATCAACTCCTTCAAGATTAACAAATCTAATTTCCCACTGAGCCTGAATCTAACAGTCTGTCTTCCCCTCGCCTTCCAGTTTCCGGCTGAGCAGAGTTCGGAGAAACTCTGCACCGAGCTCAAAAACATTTCAATAAAACCCGTTCAACTTTTACTCTGTGTCTCTCTATTTGGTTTCACTGCATGTGGGTCCGAGCCTTAGATAAGATCATGACAGAAGGGGGCTTTAAGAAGAGGCCCATACCATTAAGCAAGCTCAACATAGCAGGATAATTCCAGACTATCCAGTTTATTTAATCCATAAGAATTGTAATCAGCATCAGCTGTAACACAAAGCTGGTGATCAACTCGTTGATTCAATCCAGCTTTAATTAATCATGAATCTATGAACGAGCACGTATAAAGGGTAGGGTTCAAGGTAGAAGACCAATCACAATAATGAGAGCAGAAGGGATAGCACTTTATTTCTAATGTGAGGATCAAAAACTCATCTTGCAGAAAAACGTAGCGGAAAAAAACATGCTGAGTTCGAATCCAGAAGCTCCATCCTCCGAAGGCCAGTTTCATTGGTCAATGACGTCATAGAGCTATGCCGAGGCCTGTTCGGATTGGAAGACTCCTCGTTATGCGGCCGACAAATTCAGCCTTCTTTTTGCCAGTTTTGAAGGACGGGTCCAGTGTATCCTTCATAGCATTGGGTATCCCAGGATTCATTGCGAGTCCAAGCATGCCTGCCGCTCTTTGCTCAAAGGAAGAACTTACTTGACGCAGGACAGTTGTGAAAATTGGAAGTACAGTTTAATATAATACAAGTATATGAATAGTTCCATCTGAAATTAATGAAAATAGTTGGTTTTAACGGTTATTGAGTCAGATTTGTTCCAGGTAATGTTTGGATTATTGAAATGTTTCATCCATCCCTCTATAAATTAGTTTGGCTGAGATTAAATGACAGGTTCTATTATATCTGCAGTGTGGGAACTATAAATCTGATATGGTACTGCTGTTGAAGCTCCTCGAAAATGTTATTGCAACCCAGAATAGCAGTAAGTGGTTAGGTATCCATTCTTTTCCTGCTTTTTGTATTAACTTTCACGGCTGCTACGCAACAGAGCATACGGGCAATGCAAACCCGGGAAGGCTGGACCTGTTTAATCACCAGCCAAAACTCTTCCTGTCTTCTTACTTTTACAAATCGGGATACCCAGTCCAGATAGCCCGGGTCGTTCGAGGATGCAACCTCACCACAGTACTAATGACGTGACAGATGATTGCTAAATGCATAAATATGCTACACATCAGTATCTTTTATTAACAAAGTCTGAATTTTTTTTCTACCTGGCGGTTCACATTTAATATATATATGTATGTAGGCCAATTAAAAATCTAACCTGTCCCTTTCGATGTGCGTGTTCACCTATTCAGTTAAAAACTGGATAGGGAGAGGTGATAACCAGCTGGGTGGTACCACTGATCCCGATTTCCATTTTTGTGGATTGTTAAAACTGGATGGACTAGAATTAATCCTGCTACGTTGAGTTTGCTCTGTGGTATGGGCCTCAGGTCTGCATCTGAACACATCTGTACAATAATAAAAAGTTTTTAGAAAAGTAAGTGCCTGTATAAGCATTAATACTCTAAGGTTATGCTGTTTCTTTCACTCTGGGAGTGTTTTTCATTCATTTCTCATCAAAGCACTTTTGTTCTTTTTCTTAATTTATCAGGGCAAGTGGCCATTTCATGATATAATCTTTTGCTTTTAAAATATACATAATTTGAATACTACAAAAGTAATAAGGTCTTGTCTAGGACTCCAATAATACTATTGGCTTGAAATGTTGATTTTTCAAAAATATTTAATTAAGAAGCCTATAAAAGGTTAATACGGTAGCAAGTTTTTCAGTGAAAAACCAAAAGTGACCCTCAAAAAAAGCTAGCTATAGTGTCTGGCGGATTTCCAAACTAAAATAAAATAAAACAAGCACTAGAGCCAAGAATAGAATCACACTGTAGGTTTATTCTTTCTCAAATAGTAATACATTTTTTTCTCTCTCACATTTTTAAAATTACATTTACAATCTTTCTGTGTGATTGACAAAGTTTTGGGGAAGATAAACTTGATGGTTTTTTTTCCTTCTTTTTTCCCCATACAAACCAACTGTCTACCTGTAGACTTCACAATGATGATAGGAAACAGCAGCCTCGTGTCATGCAGTTAAAACAAGTAATTACCAGCAAATTTTAATTTACAATTCAATTTCCTTTTCCTTACACAAAACTTCAGGTTAAAGACATGGTATATATAATCTACCTTTAAATTTAAATTCTGTCTGCAGAAATGCAGATTTGAGTTGAACTGATTTAGATGCTGGAGTATGACTCTGAAGATTCAGCGTTGCTGCTTGAGTTTTGCACCCGTGTGACACGGTACACATCTGAAAAGAAACAAAGTGTCAATTAGGATAGCAATTTAAGTTATAAGTCATATGAACAATTTCTTAATGTAGTGATCTTTAAACAGCTTACTCCTTCTCCTCCAAATTCGGTTAAAGATTTTTAGTCCGCTGCTCGAGGAATTCCCCGCACTTGTGCTCTATTAAAGAAAGCAGGTTTAAAATAAATTGATAGAAATAGTTTGCACTATGAAGTTCAGGTCTATCACAGCTTTTTTAAGATTTTTGGCAATCAAAATGATAAGGGTGATCAAGCCGAATAACTCAAATGTAGAACCTACCCTTGTTCTGCTAGATGTGGAGCTTAAAGCCGATACTCTTTGTGAAACAAAAGAACGGACCTGCAAAGGGAATAACATTTTAAGGAAGTGATAACAATTTGTCAAACCTAAAGGAAATTAATTCTGGTCTTTATTTAAACTGAACTCATTTAAATATATGTACTTGTCGAAGTATTTTCATAATGTAGAAATGTGAGTTACATGGTTCATTATCTTTAGTTTGAATCTGGGACCACAAAAACCATCATGTGAAAAAATTATTAACAATTTATCTGAAAATCGGTATCAGTTGATAAATATTATGTCTGTCTTATTCTTTTTAGATTTTGTCAGAAGCCTCCCATAGAAGTAAAAGGAGTATAGATGTGTTATTTATTTGGGGATCTTATCATTTCATCGTAATAACGTTATAATTTATTTTAGTCTGAAAAGCTTGTACAATGAAACATCTGTCTGAAACTTCATTACAAGTTTAAAGGGAGAGTTTAAGTGTTTTAACAAAAGTTCGGACTTTTGCAATATACTAATGATCAAAATTATACATCGAACCTAAAATACATAAATACATTGATCTGAATCTTATATCTAGCGGTGCTGAATATATTTCATTGAAGTGGAAAAAGTCACAGTTTACAACGCTTGTGTAAGTAACCATCATTGGCTGCAGTGGAGAAATTATTCCTTTATCGTTATTAAAAAGCTTGTCAGAATTCAGGAGATTAAAGAACAATGAGAAAATACAAAGAACTCAACAAAAAACTTAGAGTGAGATTAGTAGTATCAGACATTTGTTAGTGCCATATCTACATTATTGCAGAATTCAAAACTATAATTTTTAACAACAGTATAAAAGTATAAAACATTCAAGTTATCCAAAGTATAACTGCTTTGGCAAGAAAGGTCAAAGTGTCAGCCTCTAATTCAAACAAACTGGTTAGACACGCAGTAGAGACACTCTACATAGCACAGGCTGCTATACAGTACAGTGTCTACTAAGATACAACACCTTCCAACTTGACTGAAACTAGCACCTTCTGTGGAACTCTTTAGGCTCCCAAACTTAAAAATATATACCAGCTGCCAAGTACTCTGGTGATAGCATCATGCTGGATAATCTCTGTGGTGCCAGTGGCCTTGGTTAATTGCACAAGGCAGATAAGGTAACACTGAGGGAGAAATATGTACACATTTCTCACACTAAAGTAATTTAAAGGTATTATGGTTGAAACTTGGACATTTCTCTATTTAAATGGGAAAAACAACATACATCAGAATTCATTTGGGATGAATCACAAGACAAGATCAGGCAACTAGAATAGCCCAATTTCAAAGCTTTATTAAGACAGTAAACTAATCTCCATAAATTCAAGAATAATTCACATGTATTTTAAAGGTAACCATGGCGTAAGACTGTAGAATGTTTAAAAAGCTTGGAGTTGTCCAATTATTATATTGCAATTAAAGAAAAAACTTAACTGCTAAGTGAATAAGCGCTCCTCTTTAGTCTTTATGTGACTGCAAACAATTTGGAATTTAATGCTGAATTTTGCTTTGATACAGCTTGAATGGCCTGACCCATAACTCTTTAGTACATTGTTTTGCCTGTCATCTTGCCTTATTGTTCGCTAATAAGGCAAAAATGACTCACCAAATGCCTCTGATCACACTAAGCTTCACTACATCTGCCACTGCAGCTATTTTAGTTGCCTATGGTTAGTTCATTATGGGCTACATTTCACAGTGGATGGAGGAATTTTATTGTTCGTATAAAGTCGTTGCACACAGGCATGGTTTATCTGAAGTCACATCCACTCTTCATGGTAGAGTAAATTAAAACGGAGGTTCTCATGTCTATATATATTTCTTAAAGACTGGTGAGTGATGGTATACTTAATACTGATATTGAAAATAAAGTCAACATACCTTGGAATCGAATAATGTCCCAAACACTAAAATGAAGAAACCCTGAAGAAGGTTAAACATTATTTTAGTAAAAGAGCACAGGAGATAAAATCCTAATTTAAATGCTGAAAAAAAATATATCTCCTGCAAATACCTGCAAAGAGTTGAAGAAAGCAAAGGCAACATGAATCCCTTCATTTGTTGGCTCCACCATGGTTCCAATTCCCAAAGACCAGGTGAGTCCAAACAAAGGACTGAGTATGGCCACACATCTTAGAATGACTACCAATGCATTTTTCTCACCTGCCTGGGATGTGTTTCCAATACTCCTCCGTCTAACCATTTTGTACAAAACCAATATAATGACCAAAATATTAAACACCACTATGATCAAGGCAGGGATGACCATGGCCAGGAGGGCCTTAGTTTTAGTCCAGTTTAGCCAGCAAGCTAGATCTTCCCTGATGTATCCTTCCCCAGGTGCTGTGGCGGCAACAGTAGTAACAGCTATAATCAGAGGGCAAACATATCCCACAGTCAATCCAATGGCAAACATGGTCCATTTGGACATTTCAGAGAAGACCATGACTGTCCGGTATAGGAGCAGAAGGCTTGAAACAAACATCCAAAAGAACATGGCAAGATAGAAAAAGTGCATGAAAAAGGTTGCTGCACTACAAGGTCCAAGGGGTACTGTGTAGTCCTCATCCGGGTTTTCTTTAGGGTTCTTTGCAATAGCGGCTCCAATGATAAAGCAGATGTCAGCAATCAGCAGGGACAGCGCTGTGTTGACAATGGCGACATGGCGCATAAAAGCAGTGCTATTTTTGGTTAGGGCTCTCCAAACAATTCCCTCAATAACGAGACAAATCAGCAGGCTGACCATTGATATCCCAACTCCAATATATGTCATTATATCCAAGAATTTTCTGATTGATTCAGGAATATCCGTTGACATCAGAATTGAGAAAGATGTGAGGTGGTTGCAGGTGCAGGTTACAGTGTCGTTTATGTCAGAAACAAACTTGCAGCCCTGATCATCCCATGCACCAAGTCGATCAAATAGGCTAAAATTCCAAAAGACACACTGTGGGTTCAGTTCCAGAATTGAATTGCGTTTTTGGAAACTCAGATTGACATTACGAATAGTTTTATCGACTTTTACCAGCAGCACAGCACCATTGATGGCATTGTCTGGTGTAGTTTCATTGGTTATGTTGTTAGAAATGGTAAAGTCAAACGAAGAATTCCGTGCTGGCATAACATTATGAAGGGAGGAGAATACAATGGTGGTAATAGAGATATTATTGAGGCCTGTCTCTGGGAGTTCTATAGTGACATTGGAGGTCAATTGTTCATTGAAAGAGCCGCTGAACTGGGTTCTGTCCAGCTGGATCCTCTGAGTACTCAAAGCAAATTTTCCAGTTAATTTGTCAGAAATTGTCTCCAGGGAACTTAGAAGTTCTGAGCTTGAATTTTGAGTTTGATTTGTATTCAGGAAGTCCCAGGACTCCTTTGCATCATCTCCAACGATGACATCAACAGTATTCAACACATTCTATAGATAAGAAACAGAAAGAGAATATGATAAATTATTAGCAAACCTACCTGCGCCTGTTCTAAAGAAGTTTTTCAAGAACTTGAAAAATAGAATGGAGCAGTTTACATACTTGCATCACATCTTCATTGACCTGTTGTGAAACCCTTGCAATTGTATTTAATATATCAACAATTGCCGATATTGTTGCTGAGGACTGGGAAATTTGCTCCTCCTCTTTCTGGACAGCCTTACTTAGATTTGCTGAAAACACCTGAATCTCTTCTTCCTTCAGATCCTTAATGGGTAGTAAAACAGACACAAAGATGACAATAAGGAACACAAAGAGGGAGGTGGGGGTGATAAGCAGTATTTCAAACACAATTATACTTAGAATGAACGATAGGATCCCTTAAATCTTTGTATAAAAATTTGTATCTAGCCCAAATATATAAACCAATTGAGACCAACTGAAACAATACCCACAAGCTGAAACAATGTACAGCATTTAACTTGGTCAAATTATCATATTAAGCCAAAGAAATTGGATTCTGAGATTTTTTTTTTTTCTCAAAGCAGATGTGTTTTACTTTGCCACTGTGTCACTTTTCGTGTAAGACTAATACGATTGCTGCCAAATTGTTGCATGGGTCGGATAAAAGTAGAACAGGGGTCTATCATGGTCGGAGCTATGCCCCATTCCAGACATCATTTAACAAAAAGGGTTTCTGTCGAATTGGACACAAAACCATGCCCAGCGTGTTCAGGCCCTAACTGTTAAATAACTGTTGCAACATGTTTGATGATTCCAGCATTGAACCAAAGATGCCATTTGTTTCCAACAAGTGCTAAACATTACATTTGTTGGCACTTTATTTAAACTAAGATTTCATTTTGTTGCATGCAGCTGAATAAAGCATACATTTAGTCCCAAAACCAAAGTTTAATCGGCACATTGTGTTGGATGGCCATGGTTGGCTTGATCATCTCTGGCTTTGTTTTACCTTCAGGCTCCACTTGTTGGTGCTATGTATGTGCTCTCTCTATCCTAATGCATTTAAAACCTTGGTCTTTCTCTGCATGCAAACCATGACTTCAAAAAGCCTAACAGTGGTAAAGAGTATGATTTTCTAAAACCATCAAAGAGATGTTTGTAATTTTAGAAAAAGGATTTGTATTTATGGAAGGCATTGCTGAAACAATGTGCCACAAGTCAAGTCCAGAAGAACTTGGGATGGAAAGTATGCAGTGATATTTTTCTGTAGGTCAAAATGGAAGTGCTTTCTCTTCCAAAATGAGACAAGTTTATTTATCTAGCACATTCAGTAATAAAAATAACAAAGGGGGATGTTCGGTGGAAACTGTTAAGTGTTAGTGAGTTGAATTTTGTGCAGTTTTTGGGTTATTTTTTTCATCATTTTATATTTCATTCAAGGTGGGGCACCTTAAGACATTAATTCATATGTAACACTTTTGAAAACCCTTCTGCTTCTGAAATAGTTTTTTCTCCTGTTTCTGTGGTTTTTGTTTTCAGTCATACCTTCAAGTTTTCTTAAACCTTGTTATGGCTGAACTGGTACTGGTAATAAGAAACTAAAGAATGTGGATGAGACGCTAGACTGAGACAGATTATTCTACACTATGGTTAAAAATAAACTTTTGCAGCTGTTGGTGTTGCAATGATTAAAAGCACGTTCTGCCTCTTGGACACAGCTCACACCACATCAGTACTAAGGGCATTGGTCCTTTAATCACCTCAACATTTAGTAGGGCTTTTGATATGTTTATTATAAACAGTAATGGAATTAAATATTAGGGGGGGAAAAATGTTTTTTTAATTTCTTGTTCTTCTAGCATATTAGTGCAAGAATACAATAAGAATACAGCAGAAAGCTACATGGTGGTGTTAAAATATGGCTTACTGCATCTGTCAATTAAACCATCTGTAATTCAGAAAAGCCTTTACAGGGTTTCCACATCTCCAAAAGAGTCATCAAACTTCTGTACTAAGGTAAAAAGCTACTTACTGCAGAATCAATCAGCAGCTCATTGATCTTTGTAACAATACAGGAGTCCATTATCAGTTTCCATGCTCCATTTTCCTCACACTCTGCAATCTTGTTACCCTCCAGACCATCAGCACACATAGCGCTTGCTTTGTCACCCGCTCTTCCAGTCCCGTACTCCTCATCTTCACATACAACAGCTTAAAGGTTTGCAAAATATATATTCAGTCAGAGGAAAAGTAAAATGGAAAAAAAGACTGTGTTTCATAGGTTGCTCTTACGATCTGTGAATATGTTCACTTTGGTTGTTGCTTTATATGTCGCATCTTCAGTAACTTGACAGGTAAATTCTCTTGTTGGGTCACTGCAGCCTTGCATGTTAAATTCATGTATGATGCAGTCTTTTTCAGGAACTGGAAATTGAATTGAATTGAAACAGATTTTTACAACGTACATACTGTAGTAAAGAGCTATTGAATTGCTAAGCATACGGTAAATATTAAACATATTTGTCATTCATTGATGCTTACCTGAACTTAATTCTGTAGAACCCTCGTACCATTTCACCTTATAAGGAGACTGCACACAGCAAGTAACTTTTTCGTTTTTATTCTCCTCACATTTAACCCACCTTGTTTGTGAGATTCGCACATTAGGGGCTTGTCTGATCTCACTATTTTTCACAGTTCTCTTTTGGATAAAACTAAAACCTTCCCCCCGTAGTATGCATTCATAAAGCCCTGCAATTACAAACATTGTATGATTAATTATTTTACAAAATAAAGGTGAATAATTGATCATGTGGATGCTGATCATTTACACTGTCAGCTGTGGCACAGAGGGGAATAGTTATAGTATCTGGTGAAGATTCTCAGTCATGCAATTCATAATCATTACCAAAAAAGTTATGCATGTTTTCTAAAGGCTTTGTAGGGCTACTGTATATGAGCCTCAAGCCCAATGCTATTTTTGACATTTGAATTTAAAAAAGGTTCCTCGATTGGAAGTGAAACGTCTTTAAACTTGGAAACAAAGTCCAGTAGATTGTTTTTTTTTTAACTTTTGTTTTATACTTTTTTGGAAATAATTACAGTATCATTCAGTTAAAAAGTTACATCTTCTTTCCCTGGTACATGTTGAAGTGCTTTTGGGCATAGAACTCAACCCGAAGCTACCTGCAGACCTGAATATCTGTGTTTGAATGTGTGTACATATGTAGCTGTGGCTGGGTGAATGCTAGCTCAGAATGAGCATGCTTGTTTGGCTGGCATGAGTTTCAAAAAATCTATAATGTCCACATTGCTGACATTATACAAGCTTCCCTGTCATTGAAATTATAAACTACCTTTGGTGTTTTTTTGTGTTTGTTTCCGTAGTCCTACTTTGTTCTACTCTTTCCAAAAAGGTAAAAAAACAATCCACTGGACTTGGTTTCCAAGTTTGAAAACCTTTCGCTTCTCATCCAGGAAGCTTTTACAATAAAAAATAGCAGAATTAGCGTTGAATTCAAAGCTTTATATACTAGATCGAGCATTTTCTGTTGCAGCTCCAAAACTCTGGAATGCATTGCCGCTGCACATTAGACAGGCCACCTCTCTGTCTCATTTTAAAACTCTTCTTAAAACCCACCTCTTTTCTTTGGCTTTTAACACCATGTAGAGTGTTGATTTTATGTACACATGTTGATTTTATGTATACACATGCATTTTTTTATCCTGTGCGGGCAGTGCTTTTATTTTATTTTATTACTTTTATTTATTTTAGTTATTTTATCTTTTTGTGCAGCACTTTGGAAACCTTGTGTTTATTTAAACCGTGCTATATAAATAAAGTGGATTGGATTGGATAGCCAAAAAACGTTTGGCTTAGAAAATATGCAAATTGAACAAGAAGAACAGGTCTAACCCTTAGGAATGGGGAGTCGTTTTGGGTTCTTTGTCACACTGCAATACCCGATACTGGGCTATGCCTATGAAAGGGGGGATCCTAGGGGCAATTGTTGGCTTGGCTGCCCAGGTGAGACTTTTTGTCCCCTGCATGGGGTGGGGGGTTGAAATGATAGCAGGAAGGAATCAACTTTATCCCTGCATTGTAGGTTTCTGAAAGCTGAAACCTGAGACAACCCCCTCTGTTTAAGGTTGGATTTTCTCTAGTAACATAAATGGCTTCCTTCACAACACTTTCAAACCACCTGTCTATTTTGTCCAAATGTAAACATTCTGGTTCTCAACTGAGTGTCCCTTGTCTTTAAGGTGCAAGTGGATAGCAGAGTCCTGTCCAGAGGAGTCCAATTTGCACGTTTTCTAAGCCAAAATCAGTTTTTGGGCTACTGTATATAGCTTCGAACTCAACACTAATTCTGACATTTTGAAACAAAAAAGCTTCCTGGATGGAAAGCGAATCATCTTCAAACTTGGAAACCAGGTCCAGTGGATTGTTTTTTAACTGTTTTGGAATGACTATGACCTGGATGACCGAGAATCTTTACCAGCATACTTTATTGTACCAATTTCCCTACATCTGGACTTCTACAGTTCTCTTTTCTTCTGATAAATGTTACCCAAGTTTTTTGAATAACGAAATATGCAAGAAAACAAAAGAAAGCTTTGACTAAACATTTTCAAATATTCTCTTAAAATATATATTTTTTTCTGTCGAAGCATAAAGTCATCCATCAAGATTACAGAGATGTCAACTTGGCTCAAGGCAGCGATATTACAACCATTAATGGTCACTACAAATTCACACACAAAAAAAAAAAAACATAAATTAAATCATCTACAGTTTTTTAACTCTTGGGAGGTTTAAGCCTACCAAATAAAATTGTTGTAATGGCGCGCAGTAGCCATAACAACGAATAGATGAAACTACTCGTAGCCTTATTGTGGCAGTACTGTATGTCCAATGGGGGGAACTCATATTTAACAGGTTAAACACATTTTGTTTTAGTTTTTTTCATTTTTATTTAAATAAAATAGCTTTTTACTTACCAGCATCACCTGATATTACTTTTTCCACTACCAGGTTGGACTGATTTTCAGAAGAAGATATTTTATGTCTCTCTGATCTAATTTCAAACCCATTAAATTTCCATTCAGTAGTTTTCACTTTTCCCATATTGACATTGCTAGGGTCACAAGTCAGGGTCATGGTTTTCCCAGTAAAAATAGAGTCCTTTACACTTGATTTAAGCTGGATTGGACCTTAAAGAGAAAATTAGGTCAGCTTAAAATACATTAATGTAAAAAAAAATTTTTGTATGTTTAACTTTTTACTGTTGTACTCTGCAGTCGGTGTAGCAAGAACACGAGCAATTGGCCCCAATGCTTTATCAAGCCTTGAATTGGCCTCAGTGATTTCAGTCAGATCAACTGGTCCAGACATCTTCACAGTAAAATCTGCAATAACACTGCCTGGCCTTTGGGACACACACACAAAACAACAACAGCATTGTAATTGTTGAGTCCAGAATCTTGATTTTTATTTATTAAAGAAAAAACATACCTAAGATCTGTCACAGAAACTCCAATGTATCCAGTCAGACGTGTATACGGCTCCCCAAGCTGGGTGAAAAAAACAAGATAAGTTACTTTACCTATGAAGATAAGTAAAGAGAGTGCTGGAGGACAAAGGGACACCTTTTTCCTCACTCTGTTTCATTCTATCTCTATTCTCCCTCTCTGCAGAATCTGTTATTTTAATCTCTAACGTTATGCTCTCTCTGCGTTTTCTCATAGTAGCTTTGCCTTGTAATATCAGCTGCCCTGCTGCCATCAACACCTATGTTTATAGATGTTTGAGATCGGCCTGTTTTTCAGTGCAGTCCTGTTTCTCTGACTGTGACCGGTTTGGATGTGCTCTCTCCATCCTCTAACACTGGAGCTGGCTCTGAGCTTGTCTGTCTGGCTTTGTATTTCCTAGACGGGGCCGCCTTTTGTATCTCTGCTTCTGTCTCCTTGAACCCAGTCGGCCTCTGCAGATGGGCGCTCACACTGAGTCTGGTTCTGCTGGAGCTTTCTTCCTGTCAAAAGTTTTTCCTCTCCACTATCGCTACAAGCATGCTTAGTAAGAGGGATTGCCTGCGTGTCAATAAGTTGATGCAATTGACTGGTTTTCCTTAGATAGAAAACTTAAATCAATTTGACTGGATGATCTGGTGAACTGTAAAGTGCCTTGAGATGACTTGTGTTGTGAATTGGCGCTACAGTGGGGCAAAAAAGTATTTAGTCAGCCACCAATAGTGCAAGTTCTCCCACTTAAAAAGATGAGAGAGGCCGGTAATTTTCATCATAGATATACCTCAACTATGAGAGACAAAATGAGAAAATTCACAAAACCAAGCAGTGGGCTGCCCACGTGACACACAATGGCAGCCCACTGCTCCCCAAGGTGATGGGTAAAATGCAGAGAGGCAATTTCCCATTGTGGAACAATTAAAGGATTTAAATTAAGGGATTTACATGACACACATTACAATATCACAATGTAATCTGGTAACTATAATACCTTTAATGTGCTTTGTAAATGCATAGAAGAAAGCAGTGCATTGTCATGCCAAAATTTTCTACATCTGAATAAACAAAACAAAAGTCCTAACTTCTGGACTATTGGAGAAATGATAAAAACTTGGATATAGCTTCAGTTATTTCAGATAGGATCCATTGATCAGGACTGAAATCTGAACCCACAAGTTCATACAGACAGTTCTGGAGTCTGCCTTTTACTACCTGAAGGACTTTTGTTTTAGCAGATTTTAAAAAAACTAATCCAAATATCTATTTCGTCAAATTGATTAGTGCAAATTAGAAGTGGAACAGAGAGCTGCAGTTGATCCAGAATGCTACTGCTCTCGTCCTCACTTTACTTAAGAAAGTGGAACACATCAATCAATTCTTAAGTCCTTCCACTGGTTCCATGGATCTGACAGAATAGACTTTAGAATACTTATTTTAAGCTTTAAATTACTGAATGTCTTGCACCAAAATACATTATCTTTAAAATATGTTAAATTAGACTTGTCTGTGTATCAATTACCCAGACCTCTCAGGTCTTCAGGGTCAAGTCTATTCCACATTCCCAGAACTGGCTCTAAACACAGAGAGGCAGCTTTTAATTCTGTAACCCTAAGCTTTTTCTTATGGTTAAAAGCTTAACAAGCTTTAACAAGGTTAAAATGTATTTATTATTATTATTTTTTTTTTTTTTGGTCTTTTAATGATTTTAACTTTTAACTATAATATTATATGGATACGTTTGCTATCCATCTCAGCTTTATCTGTCTCTATTATGCCACTGCAATGTACTTCTCTCTGTGTTATGTTTTTGTTCTCTTCATTCTTTGCCTTTTGATTTGCCCTTTAATTGAAATTTACAATACAAATACATTTGCTTTTCCTTGTTGAATGTTTTCTAGATCAAAACATATCCAAAACTTGTAGAGAAATTAAAGCTACTCACTGCTTCAGCAATTCTTGATGAAAGGTCTCGGAATTCCTGACTGGTTTTATCGTTGTACTTATCGATGAATTCCAGGTCTAGCTCGACTGACATCGGTATGTCAGTTGCTGTTTATTCAAAATAAAAAGTTTATTTTTCTGGTCTCTGAGACAGAGCATGCAAATTAAACACATATACCAATAAACAGCATTCACTTTCAACAAATATCACACAGCCTAATAAAAAAATATATATATTCTATAGATGACATCTGTTGTTTTAAGTAGGGTCATTTTAAATATAAAGATGAAAACAAACAGGTTGTTTTTGTTTATTGTGACTTATCAGTACAGCCACACGGTGCACAAAATCTTTAACTGAAAAACTCATATGACAATATTTGACTGTAAACAATAATTTGCAGTTTTTGGTCATGAAGCCTGACGTGCAGCAGAATATTATTATATATTATATATAATATTATAACTAAAAAGATGATGAAACAAAATCAAAAAGATTTTCTTCAAAAACCATGCCTTAGTACCTCTAATGTTGTTATCTTCAATTAACCTATGCTTTAAACAATTCTATACTTAAATGCAGTAACTTGTAATTAGTATTACATTTATTGTCAGATATACACAAAATTCAATTCTGTCTGTCAAATCAGATGTCTGACTAATTAAATTATGGTTGTCAGACAATTGCATTGAATTCAATTAAATTCACATCAGTTTATTTAAATGTTGCGCCGATGTCATTTTTTTTGCCCTAATATTGATACTCGACACCTGGCTGTGCAGTATTGGCCGATACCATACCAATACCATCTGTTTGAAATTGATGTATGTGTGTATATAAAGAACAACATACTACTTGGATGTAAAATAATTGCCATCATGGCTTTGTCAAGCTGCTGCCTACCTTTGTGAAGCAGGAAAAAGACTAATACAAAGTGAATCCAGTAGAACTTTTTATTGCCTGCCTGGAATGGTTTGAGTGCCCTGTTTGTTGGTACTCATCGAAACCGATACCAGCATTTTAGTACTGGATCGGGGCCCTGCCCGATACTGGTATCGGTGCAACACTACTTTATTTTTAAAGGTTTGATTCACAGCTAAGGATATAAAACCCCTTCATAGAGTTATTTCAATCAACTCATACCAACAGACAGGAAAGCCCAGCAAATCCTCACATTGCAATGTCTGACACAATCAAGTACCCCTTCCTTTAAACAAGCTCATGCACTCGTCCTTCTGATTACTAAAAACAATATGTTAAATTTAAATGCGAAAATTCTATTCAAACCCCTGGCCAAATGACAGATAATCTAATGACTGGTTCTCAATCCTGGTCTTCAAGTATCACTATCTTGTTTCCCCTTGCTGCCAAACATCTCTAACTTATAAATAATTGAGTGTCTTCTACAGCACTTTAATTCAGCAATTCAATCATTCGACTTAGGTGTGCTGAAACAGAGATATCTAAAAGATGCAGAGCAGTGGCCCCCGAGAACCAGGACATAGAACCCCGGATCTAATTTCTGATGGATTTTTCAGTAGATCATTACCTTCAACAGGTCTTTCAGAAGTTATTGTGGTAGAAGCCAAAGCTGTAGTGCCTTTAGTTGAGGAGGTAGAAGGTTTGGGTGCATTGGTAGTAGTTGTGGTGGTCTTGGTAGATGGGGCACTGGTTGTAGTCAGAGTTGTCTGGGGACTGGCTGTAGTTGTAGTTGTCGAGACACTGGTCATACTTGTAGCTGTCGAGGCACTGATTGAAGTTGTTGAGGCACTGGTAGAAGGTGCAGGTGTAGATTTCTCTGTAGTTGTAGCTTTTAAAGGAGTTGTGGAATTAGTTGAGGTAGAGGTAAAAGTTGGCTGTTGACTGTCAAAAAGGCCAGCTATATAGTTTTTCATGGGAGTACTGCTAGTGGTGTTAGTTGTTGGATGACTAGTGATTGCTGTAGTCTGTGTTAAATGTGTAATAGTTGAATTTGGTACACTGGTGGTATTTAGGACTGTTGTAGTTGCTTTAAGGATAGGGGTGTAAAACTAGATTATATTCAAAAGAATCACAATCATCAGATTAAGTGCAAGGGACATTCTAACAGTTCTTTCCGTTACGAAAATTACATTTTAGTAAATGTATTTAAAATAAACCAAGTGCAGTCAGAATGCTGTATCTATTGTGAGAGAACATAAATTCACATTTCAATCTGACAATCAGCGTTATTTGGCTTTTTTGGGGGTTAAAACTGCCTAATTTAAAATCTTACAAATGTAGTGAAAACAAGTTCTAAGTTTAGTATAAAATAAAAATAATACTAGATTAACAGGGCTGGTGATATAAAATCGTGGAAAGCACCATATGGTGACAGCTTAAAGTGAATTTTGGCAAAACAAGTTCATCTTGAAACGAGCACCTCCTTAGAAATGGTTACTTAGATGAAGCAGACTAATAACCAGAGAATAAAGAGCCACACTAACATAAAAGGCCCTTACTTGTCACTGAGGACGTCATGGGTTGTGGTGTAGTAGTTGTCGCATTAGTAAAAACAGGCAATGAATCTGAAAGAGAGGAAAGTATTAGAGCTGACTGTCTGAACCACAGATATCAACTGATTAGATAGATTAGATTACAGTTGTTTTTGCTATAGTTGCTAAAAAGATATACTGGCAATGTTTTCCTATTGTGAAAAATAATGTTTATTTATCCTAGATATTAACACTCTTGATAAAATTATAGACAAACCTTTTTTAGTCCAATTCAGGTATAGCTAAATTTATTTTAGCTGTGAATTAATTTGTACGGTAACCTTTAGATAAGAAGGACTGAAAAATAAGCAGAAAGTCACACTTTAAAAGTATTTTCAGGCTTTGTTGCTTTAGACCTTAGTGAGTAGCTTTTGGTTTTAGGCTCCAAATTGAATACAGCTACCTAATCGCTATAGAGAAACATCAGGAGCCAACTCTTAATGAAAAACAGAACAGAGGTCACTTGGAGGGCTTACCTGTTACCAAGGTTACAGGTGCTGTTGTGTTAAACCAAGTTGTGGCCTCAGTTGTTGAATCTGAGAAATTATATCAAGTTCATATCAGTTGTTAATAATCAGTTTATTTGCTCTGTTTTCAAATCAGGCCAAATGTTCAGAAATGTCCCTTTTTTAATCTATAAATCATTATATAAATAGCAAACACACTGTACAGTAAGAAGCTGCAGAATGATCATTACGTTTTTTTAATTGTCCTGTTAAGCTAACTCACAGTGAGAAGTCTAATAAAAGAAACCAAAGATTCTAATGACTGTTTAGTAATTAGTAAATATATATAAAATAATCCAACTGCCATCAATTGCATTATCTATTGTGAGTGGAATGTAAAATAAATTCAAATTTCAATCTGAAAATCTATTTTTTTTTTTTTGCTTGTTTTGGGGTAAAAACTGCCCAATTCAAAATCTTAGAAATGTCATGAAAACCAATTCTAAGTTTGATAAAATACAAAATAAAACTCAAACCAGATTAACATGACTGGTGATAACATGTTCATCATCAAACCGAGCATCTCCTTAGAAATGGTTACTTAGATGAAGCAGACTAATAACCAGAGAATAAAGAGCCACACTAACATAAAAGGCCCTTACTTGTCACTGAGGACGTCATGGGTTGTGGTGTAGCAGTTGTTGCATTAGTAAAAACAGGCAATGAATCTGAAAGAGAGGAAAGTCTTAGAGCTGACTGTCTGAACCATAGATATCAACTGATTAGAAGTTGCAGTTGTTGTTGCTATAGTTTCTAAAAAGATATACTGGCAATGTTTCCCTATTGTGGAAAATAATGTTTATTTATTCTAGATATTAACACTCTTGACCAAATTATAGATAGACCTTGTTTTTTGTCCAATTCAGGTACATCTAAGTTGATTTTAGCTGTGAATTAATTAGTACGGTAACCTTTAGATAAGAAGGACTGAAAAATAATCAGAAAGTCACACTTTAAAAGTATTTTCTGGCTTTGTTACTTTAGACCTTAGTGAGTAGCTTTTGGTTTTAGGCTGCAAATTGAAGACAGCTACCTAATCACTATAGAGAAACATCAGGAGCCAACTCTTAATGAAAAACAGAACAGAGGTCACTTGGAGGGCTTACCTGTTACTAAGGTTGTAGGTGTTGTTGTGTTAAACCCAGTTGTGGCCTCAGTTGTTGAATCTGAGAAATTATATCAAGTTTATATCAGTTGTTAATTATCAGTTTCTTTGCTCTGTTTTTAAATCAGGCCAAATGTTCAGAAATTTCCCTTTTTGTTAATCTATAAATCACTATATCAATAGCAAACACACTGCACAGTAAGAAGCTGCAGAAGGATCATTACGTTTTTTAATTGTCCTGTTAAGCTAACTCACAGTGAAAAGTCTAATAAAAAACAAACAAACCCAAGATTGTAATAAAGCTCTTACTAATCGCAGCTGTTGTTGCATTAGTGGCAATTAAAGTTGTCACATCAAGTGTTGAATATGTAACAAAAGGAAAATAAATTTATGGCATTTAGTGATGGAAATTGGTACGTTTGATTCAAAATATAAATAAATTCTTGATTAAGCCTTCAAGAGAATGTCGGCAAGCTTTATTTCAATTACATTTTAGTAAATTTATTTAAAATAAACCCAGTGCAGTCAGAATACTGTATCTATTTGTTGGGAGCTGGAGAAGTACCACCTTTCTCCAGCAGAGTCCACCGTGGATCCTCCTGAGTTGAGCCTCCTGCACAGCTGCAGCCCATTCCATCATCAGAGGATCCACAGTACTTAAGCTGTCTTCAGACCTTGCCTCAACGCCGCAGTGTTGATCCAGTTGGTTAGCACCTAAGCCTAGAATCTCTGAGAACCTTTGTCGACTTCTGAATCCAGACTGGATTCTAACTTTTGTCTCTGTCTTCCAGGAAACCAGTTTTTCTCCAGTGAAGCTCTGGAAGAGCTTAACCTGCCGAGCCTGCCCTCTGAGCCAAACCTGAAGCCTTTCTCTGAACCTCCATGCAGCTCTGGACCAAGAGCTGGAAACTCAAAGCCAAGGTCTGCTCAATCCTAAGAAGTAAGACGCTGAAGCAGCTTGCGGACTCTGCTGATCAAACCCTCTCCAGATCCAACAGTTTCCCTCTCAAGGCTTTAATCAAGAACCCTCAAGGTACAAATCTGAAACTGTCAAGAATCAAACTCCTATGCGCAACGCTAACTGAACTGTTTCCCACGCAGACTCCGGTGAACCAGTTTCCCAGGCCTGAACCAGAACCAGTCATTATCTCAGTGCTTTTGTCAATAAACTCTGTTAAACCTTTTACTCCAGTTTCCGTCTCAGTGGTGTTCTGCATAATTGGGTCACACCAGTGAACCCATCATGACAGAACACTGCGGCCAAACACAAGGCCCAGCAGATCACCTCCGCCGTCGCTTGGAGGAGCAAGATGCTCAAATCCAAGGACAAACTCAAACCCTCCGTGAGTTATATCGTTTGGTTGATACAATCATATGCTTCAGAGTTATGCTAATTTTTTGAGCAATGCTAATGCCACGCCGGCAGCGCAACCATTTCCGGGTCCAGCTCCTCCTCCGAGGTTACCAGCAGTGACGTCATCAGAGTTCCGCCCAAGCCTACCTGAAAGATTCTCTGGTAATATGAAAGACTGCAAGGGATTTTTGTTTCAGTGTCGTTTAATCTTTCAAAACTCACCTGGCAGTTTTTCCACGGACTATAAGAAGATAACTTTTATTCTTTCCCAATTAACAGGAAGAGCCTTGGAGTGGGCTCAGGCAAGGTTTGCCTCCGATGAAAGTCTCAATTGCCGTTATTCAGAGTTTATTTCTGAATTTTCTCAGGTATTTAATCAAGAAACAGATCAAACCATTGACTCTCGTGCTCTTTTCAACATTAAGCAGGGAAATTCCTCTGTGGCAAAGTTCTCCATCAACTTCCGGGTTAAAGCGGCAGCTTCCGGATGGAACCAAAGCGCTCTGAAAGGGCCCTATTTTATGGCTTTAAACGAAAGCATTAAGGATGAACTAGCAACCCTCGACGAACCAGCCACTCTCGAAGAATTAATCCGTTTGACGATAAAATTGGACAATAGAATCCGAGCTAGAAACAGGTCAAGAAGTCTGGGATCATTTTCCTCTGCCCCTACCTCAAATAATGTGACTGTTTTTTCTTCTCCCACAGAACAGTTGCCCAAACCGAGATCTCAAGCCCAGTCTCTCACTCTGCCTGTTCAGGCCTCTCATTCTGGGAAAATGGATGCCGAACCCATGCAGGTGGGACACACCAGGCTCACTCCAGAGGAAAGACAAAGACGTTTTTTGAGTAAACTATGCATCTACTGTGGTGAGAGTGGACACTTCATCGCTTCTTGCCCGGCTAAATCAAAAGCCTGGGCCCGCCAGAGGTTCTGAGGAGTCTGGCGGGCCATACTAATTCTAAGAAATCTCCTCGACTGATGCTTCCTGCCACTTTGTTTTGTGCTAATCAAAGCCTCTCTTTCTCTGCATTCATCGATTCAGGCTGTGAACGAAAGTTAATTGATTCTAACCTCGTTCAACAACTTCAGATTGAAACTATTCCCCTGACCCAGCCTCTTAGTGTCTCTGCCATTGATGGGAAAAAACTCCACCAAGTTACCCATCAAACTCAACCTCTCGAGCTACTACTTTCAGGTAACCATCATGAAACCATAACATTTTTTGTTTTTCCCTCCGCATGCTCTCCCCTGGTGCTTGGATTTGAATGGTTGGAGAAACATAATCCACATATTAACTGGACTGATCGTCATGTGGAATCGTGGTCTACGTTATGTCATGAAACATGCCTCCGATCGGCTGCCCCCGTGGTGGGGCCTCCTAGAGGTGGGGGGGAGATGGACTCTCCTGACCTTTCTTCTGTCCCTTCTGAGTACCATGATTTGGCTCCTGTCTTCAGTAAGGTCAGTGCTACGTCCCTTCCACCACACAGACCATATGACTGTGCGATCGAGCTATTACCTGGAGCACCTCTACCCAGCAGCAGACTATACAATATTTCCAAACCAGAATGAGAAACCATGGAAAAGTACATTAACGAGTCTTTAGCTGCTGGGATAATTCGCCCATCTTCTTCTCCGTTGGGTGCTGGGTTCTTTTTCGTTGGCAAGAAGGACGGTTCCTTAAGACCATGTATCGATTACAGAGGTTTGAACCAAATAACAATTAAAAACAAGTACCCTCTTCCTCTACTCGCCTCAGCTTTTGAACCTGTACAAGGGGCAACTGTTTTCACCAAACTAGATTTGAGGAATGCTTATCATCTTCTTAGAATCCGTGATGGAGATGAGTGGAAACAGCCTTCAAAACCCCATTGGGTCAGTTCGAATACTTGGTCATGCCCTTTGGTTTAACAAATGCCCCTGCCTGTTTTCAAGCCCTTGTGAATGATGTTCTCAGAGACTTTTTAAATGTATTCGTGTTCGTCTACATTGATGACATACTCATTTATTCAAAGAACCTTTCTGAACATAAGAAACATGTCCGCCTTGTGTTGCAAAGATTACTGGAGAACAAACTGTTCGTTAAAGCTGAAAAATGTGAGTTTCATCAGCCTTCAGTCACCTTTTTGGGGTTTGTGCTTGAGGGCGGACAGGTTAAGCCTTCTGAGGACAAAATAAAGGCTGTTTTGGAATGGCCAGTTCCTGAAAACCGCAAGCAGCTACAGAGATTCCTGGGTTTCGCCAATTTTTATCGCCGCTTCATCAGGAACTATAGCCAGACAGCTCTTCCCTTAACCTCGCTAACCTCAGTCAAACGAACTTTTCAATGGACCCCTGAGGCACAAACTGCATTTGAGAAACTGAAATCATTGTTTTCCAGAGCACCCGTGTTAATTCAGCCCGACCCATCCAAACAATTCATACTCGAAGTGGACGCTTCAGATTCAGGTGTAGGAGCTGTCCTATCTCAGAGACTCGACTCTGATCAAAAGATCCATCCGTGTGCCTTTTTCTCTCGAAGACTTTCTTCCGCAGCGCAAAACTACGATGTTGGAGACCGTGAGCTGCTGGCCATCAAGTTGGCGCTGGAGGAATGGAGACACTGGCTGGAGGGAGCTGAGCACCCGGTTCTAGTTTGGACGGATCACAAGAACCTTGCTTACATCCAGTCAGCTAAACAAGCCAATCCCCGTCAATTCAGGTGGTCCATTTTCTTCTCACGATTCAATCTCATTATCTCCTACAGACCCGGATCCAAGAATGTCAAACCCGATTCTCTCTCGTCTATACTCCGTCGATCAACCTGAGATGCCTGAACCTGTCCTTCCCGCATCTTGTACAGTTGGAGTGGTTACCTGGGAGATCACTGATCTAATTAACATCGCCTTGGCTACAGAACCCGACCCAGGTAATGGTCCAGCTAACCGAACATATGTGCCATCTTCTGTCAGGTCTCGTCTAATTCAATGGATGCATGCAGCCAAGTTTTCCGCCCATCCGGGGGTCAGTAGAACCGTCGCCTTAATTTTGAGATGCTTCTGGTGGCCAACTCTTCACAGAGATGTCAAGGAGTATGTGTTGGCCTGTCCCACCTGTGCAAGAAATAAAGCCTCACATCAGCCTCCTTCAGGCCTGCTACAGCCTCTTCCGGTTCCCTCGCATCCATGGTCCCATATAGCTATCGACTTCGTCACTGGTCTCCCTGTCTCCCGAGGTATGTCAACTATTCTCACCATCGTTGATCGATTCTCGAAATCCTGTCATCTCATCCCTCTCAGGAAACTTCCCACGGCTTTCCAAACCGCTCAGCTTCTAGTGAAACACGTTTTCCGTCTGCATGGCATCCCCCAGGAGATCCTCTCTGACCGTGGTCCCCAGTTTATATCCCAAGTTTGGAAGGCATTCTGTTCTGCTCTCGACTGTAAGTCCTCTCTAACATCCGGTTATCACCCACAGTCCAATGGCCAAACAGAGAGGATGAACCAACAGCTGGAATCGACCCTCCGTTGTCTGACATCTAACAACCCCACCGACTGGAGCCAACATCTCACTTGGATTGAATATGCTCATAATTCCCTCAAATCTGCTTCCACCGGCCAATCTCCATTCCAGGTCAGTCTCGGTTACCAACCTCCACTTTTTCCCGCAGACGAGAGAGAGATTTCGGTCCAGTCAGTCAACCAGCACATCAGACGCTGCCAACGGATATGGAGAGAAACCATCACGACCCTCAATCGATCTTCTGAGACTACCAACAATTTGCCGACTCCAAAAGACGCCCCGCCCCCGAGTACTTCGTGGGTCAAGAGGTATGGCTATCCACTCGAAACTCTCTCCCAAAATCATTGGTCCGTATAAGATTTCCCAGGTCATCAACCCTTCAGCCGTACATCTTCAACTGCCTCAGTCTCTCCGTATTCATCCTACCTTCCACGTTTCCCAAGTCAAACCTGTAATTTCTAGTCCTCTGTGCCCACCATCCGACTCCCCACCACCCGCCCTGGAAGTCGATGGTCATCCTGCCTTCACCGTCCGTCGAATCGTGGACTCCTGTCGGCGAGGTCGCGGCTGGCAGTACCTCGTCGACTGGGAGGGCTACGGCCCGGAGGATCGCCAGTGGGTTCCCGGTTCTTACATCCTCGATCCATCCCTGATTGAGGAGTACGAGCGTTCCTGTCCATCGACGTCTTCCGGACCGCCAAAGGGCAGTCGTTGAGGGGGGGGTACTGTTGGGAGCTGGAGAAGTACCACCTTTCTCCAGCAGAGTCCGCCGTGGATCCTCCTGAGTTGAGCCTCCTGCACAGCTGCAGCCCATTCCATCATCAGAGGATCCACAGTACTTACGCTGTCTTCAGACCTTGCCTCAACGCTGCAGTGTTGATCCAGTTGGTTAGCACCTAAGCCTAGCATCTCTGAGAACCTTTGTCGACTTCTGAATCCAGACTGGATTCTAACTTTTGTCTCTGTCTTCCAGGAAACCAGTTTTTCTCCTGTGAAGCTCTGGAAGAGCTTAACCTGCCGAGCCTGCCCTCTGAGCCAAACCTGAAGCCTCTCTCTGAACCTCCATGCAGCTCTGGACCAAGAGCTGGAAACTCAAAGCCAAGGTCTGCTCAATCCTAAGAAGTAAGACGCTGAAGCAGCTTGCGGACTCTGCTGATCAAACCCTCTCCAGATCCAACAGTTTCCCTCTCAAGGCTTTAATCAAGAACCCTCAAGGTACAAATCTGAAACTGTCAAGAATCAAACTCCTATGCGCAACGCTAACTGAACTGTTTCCCACGCAGACTCCGGTGAACCAGTTTCCCAGGCCTGAACCAGAACCAGTCATTATCTCAGTGCTTTTGTCAATAAACTCTGTTAAACCTTTTACTCCAGTTTCCGTCTCAGTGGTGTTCTGCATAATTGGGTCACACCAGTGAACCCATCATGACACTATTGTGAGTGAACATAAACATAAATTCAAATTTACATCTGACAATCAGCGTTATTTGGCTTTTTGGGGGGTAAAAACTGCCTAATTTAAAATCTTAAAAATGTCATGGAAACAAGTTCTAACTTAAAGCTACAGTGTGTAATAATTACAGGCATATAAATTCAGAAATTTAATATATTATACATAACTATGTTATTTATCATCACCTATGAGCTCAGCCTTTTAACCATAACATTTGCGTTGCCTTAGAATTCGTTATTTATAATTACATAGGAGCGGGTCTCGCAGCCATGGAGGCTGACATCTTTGCGCTACGGCAGCGCAGAGGCAACAAACTAGCGATTGCGAGATCTCCCATGACGCTCGAAAATAACTACGGCAAGTTGAGAGAGATGAACTGAGACGGTACTGAACAGTAGATGGCAGTATTATGCCTGAGAAGCGTTTAGTCTGCCTGAAACCAAAGAAGAAGAAGAAGCAGGTATACTGCGCCTCGGTAACAAGAAAGGTAAACAAGGCGGCAGGCGTGAGTGACTTTGCAAACTGTTTGGCACTGTGTGGCCAAACATCAGACGAATGGAGGATCATGTCTACTCTGTATCACAACGAAAAGCGGCGGACACCGAACCCCCGTCATCTAAGAAGCGGAAACACGACGAGAATAAACGCAAGAGTGACAAGAAACGACAAAAAACACGGATCAACATTGGCACGGCATTTACACGATGGAAGTCACTGATGGAGGAAAAAGGTTTTCAAAGTGACGCTCAAGTTGCCAGTTTTCTCTTGGACAGGTAATTAATCCTACACACACAATTGTCTAATATCACTGCAGTTTTTGGAGTACAGGATGCTCAGACCTGTCTAAAACAATAACATGCTGCGTGATGATGCTGTTACTCTCCAGTATACTTATTCAGCAACGTCCCTGACGTTTCACAGGTAATGATTCAGTAATTTTCTGTAAAATAATTTTCTGGATATATACCTCGGTTACTTCTCTCCGGCTCCTTTGGAGATCTTCAAGCCTTTCCTCCTCTGCTCTCACCCCGCTGGCTCCCCTCTCTCGCCTGGCCCCAGCTGCACGCTCACCCCGGCCTCTCTGCCCTCTTCCTTTCCCTCTTCCTTGCCTTGTAACCCCCGTGCCACAAACAAGACTTGGACTCTGTAAACGGGGAATATATATTCTTCCAGCGAACACAATCTCGCTGTTAAACTAATGACTACAATTACTTCGTCTGTTTATATCACCATGCAAAGCAGCTCACCAAAACGTCACAACGACGTAGAAAAAATAACGGGTATATTTATTATCTTAAGTCTACATGAAATCTATACCCTACACAGACTAATGAAATACTATCTGTAAAATTATCTATCTAAACAAACCTCATCACTTGAGAAGGTAGGTGATGCGGACGTCGTGGAAGACATTTTGTCCCGTAACGCTCGCCGTACTGTTGGGGGGGGGAAGCGGTGGGGGGGAGACGTTCATGTTGCTGCAGTCTGCAGTCTGACCGCTAGATGTCGCTGAAAATTACACACTGTAGCTTTAAGTATAAAATAAAAATAATACTAGATTAACAGGGCTGGTGATATGAAATCCTAAAAAGCACCATATGGTGGCAGCTTAAAGTGAATTTTGGCAAAGGAAGTTCATCTTGAAACCGAGCATCTCCTTAGAAATGGTTACTTAGATGAAGCAGACTAATAACCAGAGAATAAAGAGCCACACTAACATAAAAGGCCCTTACTTGTCACTGAGGACGTCATGGGTTGTGGTGTAGTAGTTGTCGCATTAGTAAAAACAGGCAATGAATCTGAAAGAGAGGAAAGCATTAGAGCTGACTGAACCATAGATATCAACTGATTAGAAGTTACAGTTGTTGGTGCTATAGTTGCTAAAAAGATATACTGGCAATGTTTCCCTGTTGTTGAAAATAATGTTTATTTATTCTAGATATTAACACTCTTGACCAAATTATAGATAGACCTTGTTTTTTGTCCAATTCAGGTACATCTAAGTTGATTTTAGCTGTGAATTAATTTGTACGGTAACCTTTAGATAAGAAGGACTGAAAAATAAGCCACACTTTAAAAGTATTTTCTGGCTTTGTTACTTTAGACCTTAGTGAGTAGCTTTTGGTTTTAGGCTGCAAATTGAAGAAAGTTACCGAATCGCTATAGAGAAACATCAGGAGCCAACTCTTAATGAAAAACAGAACAGAGGTCACTAGGAGGGCTTACCTGTTACTAAGGTTGTAGGTGTTGTTGTGTTAAACCAAGTTGTGGCCTCAGTTGTTGAATCTGAGAAATTATATCAAGTTCAAATCAGTTGTTAATAATCAGTTTCTTTGCTGTTTTCAAATCAGGCCAAATGTTCAGAATTTCCCTTTTTTATCTATAAATCACTATATCAATAGCAAACACACTGTACAGTAAGAGTTGTGCAGAATGATCATTACATTTTTAATTGTCCTGTTAAGCTAACTCACTGTGAGAAGTCTAATAAAACAAACCCAAGATTCTAATGACTGTTTAGTAATTAGTAAATATATATAAAATAATCCAACTGCCATCAATTGCATTATCTATTGTGAGTGGAATGTAAAATAAATTCAAATTTCAATCTGAAAATCTAATTTTTTTTTTGCTTGTTTTGGGGTAAAAACTGCCCAATTCAAAATCTTAGAAATGTCATGAAAACCAATTCTACGTTTGATAAAATACAAAATAAAACTCAAACCAGATTAACTGTTGGGAGCTGGAGAAGTTCCATCTTTCTCCAGCAGAGTCCGCCATGGATCCTCCTGAGCTGAGCCTTCGACACACCTGAGGCGCATCTCATCATCAGAGGATCCACAGTATATAACCTGCCTTCAGACCTTGCCTCGACGCCGCAGTGTTAAATCCAGTTTGGTTAGCACCTAAGCCTAGCATCTTCTGAGAACCTTTGTTGCCATTGAATCCAGATTGGATTCTAATCCTTTGTCTCTGCTTTCAGGAATCCTGTTTTTCTCCTGTGAAGCTCTGGAAGAGCTTAACCTGCCAAGCCTGCCCTCTGAGCCAAACCTGAAGACTCTTCTCTGGATTCCCATGCAGCTCTGGACTAAGAGCTGGAAACCCAAGGCCAAGGTCTGCCCTCACGCTAGAAGTAAGACGCTGAAGCGGTTATCGGACTCTGCTGAACTAAACAATCTCTGGACCCAACAGTTCCTCTCTCAAAGCCTAAACCGGACTTCTCAAGGTACAAACCTGAAACTCTCAAACTCAAACTCAACTGATCCAACGCTAACTGAACTGTCTCCCACACAGACTCCAGTGAACCAGCCCCCAGGCCTGAACCAGTACCTGTGTTATTTACATGTGCTTTGTGAACAATAAACTTGTTAAACTTTTCTTCAATCTCCGTGGTGTTCTGCATCTTGGGCCTTTCAGTAACCCATCATGACATTAACATGACTGGTGACAACATGTTCATCATCAAACTGAGCATCTCCTTAGAAATGGTTACTTAGATGAAGCAGACTAATAACCAGAGAATAAAGAGGCACACTAACATAAAAGGCCCTTACTTGTCACTGAGGGCGTCATGGGTTGTGGTGTAGTAGTTGTTGCATTAGTAAAAACAGGCAATGAATCTGAAAGAGAGGAAAGTCTTAGAGCTGGCTGTCTGAACCATAGATATCAACTGATTACAAGTTACAGTTGTTGGTGCTATAGTTGTTGGTGCTAAACCTAAAAAGATATACTGGCAATGTTTCTCTATTGTGAAAAATAATGTTTATTTATCATAGATATTAACACTCTTGACAAAATTATAGATAGACCTTGTTTTTTGTCCAATTCAGGTACATCTAAGTTGATTTTAGCTGTTAATTAATTTGTACGGTAACCTTTAGATAAGAAGGACTGAAAAATAAGCAGAAAGTCACACTTTAAAAGTATTTTCTGGCTTTGTTACTTTAGACCTTAGTGAGTAGCTTTTGGTTTTAGGCTGCAAATTGAAGACAGCTACCTAATCACTATAGAGAAACATCAGGAGCCAACTCTTAATGAAAAACAGAACAGAGGTCACTTGGATGGCTTACCTGTTACTAAGGTTGTAGGTGTTGTTGTGTTAAACCCAGTTGTGGCCTCAGTTGTTGAATCTGAGAAATTATATCAAGTTCATATCAGTTGTTAATAATCAGTTTCTTTGCTCTGTTTTCAAATTAGGCCAAATGTTCAGAAATTTCCCTTTTTTAATCTATAAATCACTATATCAATAGCAAACACACTGTACAGTAAGAAGCTGCAGAATGATCATTACGTTTTTTAATTGTCCTGTTAAGCTAACTCACAGTGAGAAGTCTAATAAAAAACAAACAAACCCAAGATTGTAATAAAGCTCTTACTAATCGCAGCTGTTGTTGCATTAGTGGCAATTAAAGTTGTCACATCAAGTGTTGAATATGTGACAAAAGGAAAATAAATATATTGTATTTAGTGATGGAAATTGGTACGTTTGATTCAAAATATAAATAAATTCTTGATTAAGCCTTCAAGAGAATGTCGGCAAGCTTTATTTCAATTACATTTTGGTAAATTTATTTAAAATAAACCAAGTGCAATCAGAATACTGTATCTATTGTGAGTGAACATAAACATAAATTCAAATTTACATCTGACAATCAGCGTTATTTGGCTTTTGTGGGGGTAAAAACTGCCTAATTTAAAATCTTACAAATGTCATGGAAACAAGTTCTAAGTTTAGTATAAAATAAAAATATTACTAGATGAACAGGGCTGGTGATATGAAGTCCTGAAAAGCACCATATGGTGGCAGCTTAAAGTTAATTTTGGCAAAGCAAGTTCATCTTGAAACGAGCACCTCCTTAGGAATGGTTACTTAGATGAAGCAGACTAATAACCAGAGAATAAAGAGGCACACTAACATAAAAGGCCCTTACTTGTCACTGAGGACGTCATGGGTTGTGGTGTAGCAGTTGTTGCATTAGTAAAAACAGGCAATGAATCTGAAAGAGAGGAAAGCATTAGAGCTGACTGTCTGAACCATAGATATCAACTGATTAGAAGTTACAGTTGTTGTTGCTATAGTTGCTAAAAGATATACTGGCAATGTTTCCCTATTGTGGAAAATAATGTTTATTTATTCTAGATATTAACACTCTTGACCAAATTATAGATAGACCTTGTTTTTTGTCCAATTCAGGTACATCTAAGTCGATTTTAGCTGTGAATTAATTTGTACGGTAACCTTTAGATAAGAAGGACTGAAAAATAAGCAGAAAGTCACACTTTAAAAGTATTTTCTGGCTTTGTTGCTTTAGACCTTAGTGAGTAGCTTTTGGTTTTAGGCTGCAAATTGAAGACAGCTACCTAATCACTATAGAGCAGTGGTTCTCAAACTTTTTCTGTCATTCCCCACTTTGGACAAGAGGGAATTTTCAAGCCCCGCCTGTCCCCATTGCCCCAACACTATGCTAATGAAATATGCAACAATCTTAAAATGTTCCAATTTTATTGAAGTAACAAGTAGTATCTAAATACAAACTATCTACATCAAATAACAGCAAGCTCAAAAATAAAGAAAATAAAAATGCAGCTGTGTCAAAATTTGTATCAAGCTCAAAGATAGAAAAAATTAAAGTGCCACTCTGCAATCTGTTAATAAAAGAAAAGAAGTGAAATCCATCTGGCAATACAGGTCTATTTATCCCTGCATTAGTGGCTGCAGTGAGCCTGTTTTGCATTGCACAGTTTCTCAAAACGGGGTTGCAGGCTTGATACTGCCACTCTCAAGTCATGCTCAATGTTCAGCTGAGATCTGTATTTTGTTTTCAGTGAAGCAACAGTTGAAAAGCCCATCTCACAGAGATATGATGTGGCAAAGGGAAGAAGAATGCACACAGCTCTCTGCCCGATGAGGGGATACTCCCTCTCCACTCCAAACCAGAATTCACTATGAGTCTGAGCATTAAACCTGAGCCTCAGGGTGGAGTCAGACGTCATTTCAATAAACTGGTCCTATTTATTTAAGATAAAATATTTCAAATTCAGTTATTTATGATCAACCTGCGCCGTCAATCCCGGCGCACGTGCGCTTTATTTGCAGTCTGGACGCTGAGGGTAAACATGCTGTGTCTCTGCAGCGCTGAGAGGGACTCCTGTGATAGCGGGGGAGAACGGGGTTGGGATGGGGGAGGCGCCCCACGGCAGCACCTGCCGCTGGAGGACAAGAAAAGGAACGATACGTGCTTTCACGTAAGAGTCTCCAAAAGTCGCTAATTTGTCGCTAGTCGCTTTTTTGATAAAGAGTCGCTGGAGGGGTCTGAAATATAGCGACAAAGTCGCTGAGTTGGCAACACTGGGGCGCGAAAGTTTATTCCGTTACAAATAATATGCCGACGTCACGTCAATCATTATTTTGGCACTTCAGTTCCAGGTGAAATTTTTCTAATGTTCTTTTAATTAGACTGCATGTAGGCTAGTAATGATTACTTTGTGGGTTTGATTGGTCTAAAAAGCGGCAACATACAGCTATAAGGACAGTTTGCTCTCACACGTTCTACATTTATAGTCACACACACACACACACACACCGGAACTTGGTGCGCCCCACCTGTCACGTCTCAATTCCCCACCAGTGGGTCGCGCCACACACTTTGAGAACCACGGCTATAGAGAAACATCAGGAGCCAACTCTTAATGAAAAACAGAACAGAGGTCACTTGGAGGGCTTACCTGTTACTAAGGTTGTAGGTGTTGTTGTGTTAAACCCAGTTGTGGCCTCAGTTGTTGAATCTGAGAAATTATATAAAGTTTATATCAGTTGTTAATTATCAGTTTTTTTATTGCTCTGTTTTCAAATCAGCCCAAATGTTCAGAATTTCCCTTTTTGTTAATCTATAAATCACTATATCAATAGCAAACACACTGTACAGTAAGAAGCTACAGAATGACCATTACATTTTTTAATTGTCCTGTTAAGCTAACTCACAGTGAGAAGTCTAATAAAACAAACAAACCCAAGATTGTAATAAAGCTCTTACTAATCGCAGCTGTTGTTGCATTAGTGGAAATTAAAGTTGTCACATCAAGTGTTGAATATGTAACAAAAGGAAAATAAAAATATTGTATTTAGTGATGGAAATTGGTACGTTCGATTCAAAATATAAATAAATTCTTGATTAAGCCTTCAAGAGAATGTCGGCAAGCTTTATTTTAATTACATTTTAGTAAATGTATTTAAAATAAACCAAGTGCAATTAGAATACTGTATCTATTGTCAATGAACATAAACATAAATTCAAATTTCCATCTGACAATCAGCGTTATTTGGCTTTTGTGGGGGTAAAAACTGCCTAATTTAAAATCTTAAAAATTTCAAGGAAACAAGTTCTAAGTTTAGTATAAAATAAAAATAATACTAGATTAACAGGGCTGGTGATATGAAATCCTGAAAAGCACCATATGGTGGCAGCTTAAAGTGAATTTTGGCAAAACAAGTTCATCTTGAAACGAGCACCTCCTTAGAAATGGTTACTTAGATGAAGCAGACTAATAACCAGAGAATAAAGAGGCACACTAACATAAAAGGCCCTTACTTGTCACTGAGGACGTCATGGGTTGTGGTGTAGCAGTTGTTGCATTAGTAAAAACAGGCAATGAATCTGAAAGAGAGGAAAGCATTAGAGCTGACTGTCTGAACCATAGATATCAACTGATTAGAAGATTAGAAGTTACAGTTGTTGTTGCTATAGTTGCTAAAAAGATATACTGGCAATGTTTCCCTATTGTGGAAAATAATGTTTATTTATTCTAGATATTAACACTCTTGACCAAATTATAGATAGACCTTGTTTTTTGTCCAATTCAGGTACATCTAAGTTGATTTTAGCTGTGAATTAATTTGTACGGTAACCTTTAGATAAGAAGGACTGAAAAATAAGCAGAAAGTCAAATTTTAAAAGTATTTTCTGGCTTTGTTGCTTTAGACCTTAGTGAGTAGCTTTTGGTTTTAGGGTGCAAATTGAAGACAGCTACCTAATCGCTATAGAGAAACATCAGGAGCCAACTCTTAATGAAAAACAGAACAGAGGTCACTTGGAGGGCTTACCTGTTACTAAGGTTGTAGGTGTTGTTGTGTTAAACCCAGTTGTGGCCTCAGTTGTTGAATCTGAGAAATTATATCAAGTTCATATCAGTTGTTAATAATCAGTTTCTTTGCACTGTTTTTGAATCAGGCCAAATGTTCAGAATTTCCCTTTTTGTTAATCTATAAATCACTATATCAATAGCAAAAACACTGTACAGTAAGAAGCTACAGAATGATCATTACGTTTTTTATTGTCCTGTTAAGCTAACTCACAGTGAGAAGTCTGATAAAACAAACCCAAGTGTTAGGATCTGGAACTGTACCACCTTCCTCCAGCAGAGTGCGCCGTGGGTCCTCCAGATCTGGAACCTTCCAACACACCTGTGGCGCATCTCCTCATCAGAGACCTACCTATATAACCTGCTTCCAGACCTTGCTTCGACGCCGCAGTGTTGACCTAGTTTGGTTAGCAACCTGAGCCTTGAACCTGAGAATCTTAGCTATCTCATTGATGAGATTAGATTCTAATTCTCCCTTGTTTTGTGCCTCACAGGAAACCTGTCTCTACCTGAGGCTCTGGATGAGCTTAACCTGCCGAGATTGCCCTTGTGAGCCAAACCTGAAGATTCTTCTGTGAAATCCCCTGTAGCTCTTGGATAAGAGCTGGAAACTCAGATTAAGGTCTGTCCTCAAAGTCAGAAGCAAGACGCTGAAGCAACCCTTGGGCTCTGCTGAACTAACAGTCTCTGGACCCAACAAGTGCCCTCTCTCTCAAAGAGAAAACCTGACCACTTCAAGGTATTCATCTGAATACTCTAAGACTCATAACTCATCAGTTCGTTTGCTAACCAAGCTATCATCTCTGCAGACTCCAGTGAACCAGTTCCTGACCACTTCCCGTGCCAGTACATTATCCTTGTGTTTATTCTCAATAAACTCTGTTAAACTTTTATTCTGCCTCCGTGTGTGTTCTGCATTTTGGGCTAGCTCAGATACCCATCATGACAGAACACTGCGGCCAAACACAAAGCCCAGCAGATCACCTCCGTCGGAGGTTTGAGGAGCAAGACGCCCAGATCCATGGACATGCGCAAACCCAACGTGAGTTACATACCATGGTTGATTATCAACATCAAATGCCTCAAACACATGCTAGCTACTTTGGCAGTGCTAACGCCGCGTCAGCGGCACGTCCGTTTCCGGATCCACTTCCGCCTCCAAGTTCACCAGCCGTGACGTCATTTCCTGAGTTCCGTCCCAGTCTCCCTGAAAAGTTCTCAGGTAACCAGAAGGAATGTAAGGGATTTTTGTTTCAATGTCGACTTATTTTTGAAAATTCTCCTGGAAGTTTCCCTTCAGATATGCAAAAGATAACTTTCATTTTGTCCCAACTCTCTGGGCGAGCCCTTGTGTGGGCGTAGGCAAGGTTCAATTCAGAGGACAGTTTCAGATGCACTTTTTCTGAGTTTGTTTCTGAATTTTCCCAGGTGTTTAATTAAAATTCTGATCAAACAATTGACTCTCGAGCCCTGCTAAATTTAAAACAGGGAAATTCTACAGTAGCTGAGTTTTCCATCGACTTCCGGGTCAAAGCCGCAGCCTCTGGATGGAACGACTGTGCTCTCAAAAGTGCATATTTTCAAGCACTGAATGACAATATCAAGGATGAATTAGCTACTCTCGATGAACCAGCTAGATTGGAGGATTTAATCCGCCTAACCATTAGGTTGGACAATAGGCTTCGTGCTAGAAGCAGCTCAAGACAAAGAGGTCAAAATTTTTCTGTGTCAATCCCTGCATTGAATAATGCTTCTGTTGTTTCTGGATCCACAGAATCCGTTTCTAAGCCAAGATCTAAATCCCAGACTCTATCGTTGCCTGTCCAGGTTTCTCACTCTGATGCAACGGAAGCTGAACCCATGCAGGTTGGACACACAAGGCTTACCCCTGAGGAAAGACTACGACGTTTCAGGGGCAAATTGTGTTTATACTGTGGTGAGACTGGTCACTTAATTGCTTCATGCCCAGCTAAGTCAAAAGCCGGGGCCCGTCAGAGGAACTGAGGAGTCTGACGGGCCATTTGAAAACAGAAAAGTCTCCTCAGTTGATGCTGCCTGCCACCCTGTTTTTCTCAAACCAGAATCAGTTACAGATTGAGACGGTCCCGTTAGCTAAACCAATCTGCGTCTCTGCTATTGATGGAAAGAAGCTCCACCAAGTGACTCATCAAACACAACCTCTAGAGCTGTTGATCTCCGGAAATCATCGTGAGACGTTAACCTTTTTTGTTTTTCCCTCTACACGTTCTCCCTTGGTGCTTGGGTTCGAGTGGCTGGAACGACATAATCCCCATATCAACTGGGCTGAACGCCACATTGAGTCTTGGTCAACTGCCTGCCATGAAACATGTCTCCGTTCTGCAGCTCCCGCTGTTCAGTCTCCTAGAGGTGGGGGGAGATGGACTCTCCTGACCTTTCTTCTGTCCCTTCCGAGTATCATGATCTGGCTCCTGTCTTTAGTAAGGTCAGTGCTACGTCCCTTCCACCTCACAGACCAAATGACTGTGCCATTGAGTTACTACCAGGCGCTCCCCTGCCCAGCAGTAGACTTTATAACATCTCCAAGCCCGAACGTGAAACCATGGAGAAATACATTAACAAGTCTCTAGCTGCTGGGATAATCCGTCCATCTTCTTCTCCTCTGGGTGCTGGTTTCTTTTTTGTGGGCAAAAAGGATGGTTCCTTAAGACCTTGTATTGACTACATAGGCCTTAACCAAATAACTGTCAAGAATAAATACCCACTTCCCTTACTAGCATCAGCTTTTGAACCTGTTCAAGGGGCTACTGTCTTCACCAAGCTCGACTTAAGAAACGCATTCTCAGGATAAGAGAAGGTGACGAATGGAAGACAGCCTTTAAGACCCCTTTGGGCCAGTTTGAGTATCTGGTTATGCCTTTTGGTCTCACTAACGCTCATGCATGTTTTCAAGCACTCGTCAATGACGTCCTCAGAGACTTTTTGAATATTTTTGTGTTTGTTTACATTGACAACATTTTGATCTACTCCAAGAACCTTTCTGAGCATAAAAAACATGTCCGCGTGGTCCTTCAAAGACTGTTGGAAAATAAACTTTTTTTGTAAAGCCTGAAAAATGCGAGTTTCACCAACCATCTGTCACCTTTTTAGGGTTTGTGCTCGAGGGCGGGGAGGTTAAGCCATCCGAGGACAAGATAAAGGCAGTTTTGGACTGGCCGACACCTGAGAACCGCAAACAGCTGCAGAGATTCCTGGGTTTTGCTAACTTCTACCGACGATTCATCAGGAATTACAGTCAGACAGCTCTACCTCTCACAACTCTAACCTCAGTGAAAAAGACTTTTGAATGGACACCAGAAGCGCAAAGCGCCTTTGATAAATTAAAAAACCTGTTTTCCAGGGCCCGTGTTTTGATCCAGCCAGATCCTGCCAAACAATTTATCCTGGAAGTGGACCCCTCAGACTCTGGCGTTGGTGCTGTTTTATCCCAACAACTCGACTCTGATCAAAGGATTCACCCCTGTGCATTTTTCTCTCGTAGACTCTCACCGGCAGAACAGAACTACGGCGTTGGGGACCGAGAACTTCTAGCCATCAAACTCGCTTTGAAGGAGTGGAGACACTGGCTCGAGGGGGCCGAACATCCTGTCCTGGTTTGGACCGATCACAAGAACCTAGCTTATCTCCAGTCAGCCAAACAGGCAAACCCACGTCAGTCCAGATGGTCTCTGTTTTTCTCTCGGTTCAACCTCATAATCTCTTACAGACCTGGTTCCAAGAATGTCAAACCCGATTCTCTCTCTCGTCTTTACTCTGCTGATCAACCCGAGATGCCTGAACCTGTTCTTCCTGCCTCCTGTACCGTTGGAGTGGTTTCCTGGGAGATATCTGATCTCATAAACTCTGCCCTAGCTTCTGAACCTGACCAAGGTAAGGGTCCTCCTAACAAAACCTATGTCCCTTCCTCAGTCAGATCCCGTTTGATCCAGTGGATGCACACAGCCAAGTTTTCCGCTCACCCGGGGTTGAGTCGAACTATAGCCCTGATTTCTAGACGTTTCTGGTGGCCTACATTGCACAAAGATGTCAAGGAGTACGTACTGGCTTGTTCCATCTGCGCCAGAAACAAAACATCACATCAACCGCCTTCTGGTCTGCTGCATCCCCTTCCTGTTCCTACTCGTCCCTGGTCTCACATCGCCATCGATTTTGTCACTGGTCTCCCGATCTCCAGAGGTATGTCCACTATCTTTACAATCGTTGACCGTTTTTCCAAGTCATGTCATCTGATTCCTCTCAGGAAACTGCCCACGGCCTTCCAAACAGCACAGCTTCTGGTGAAGCATGTATTCCGGCTCCATGGAATCCCCCAAGAAATACTCTCCGACCGTGGTCCACAGTTCATTTCCCAAGTTTGGAAGGCCTTCTGTTCAGCTCTAAATTGTAAAACGTCGCTTACCTCTGGTTACCATCCACAGTCCAATGGGCAGACAGAGAGGATGAACCAACAGCTTGAATCCACTCTCCGCTGCCTGACCTCCAACAACCCCACTGACTGGAGCCAATACCTCACTTGGATAGAATACGCCCACAATTCACTCAAGTCATCTTCCACCGGTCTATCTCCATTCCAGGTTAGTCTCGGTTATCAGCCTCCTCTTTTCCCTGCAGATGAGAGAGAGATTTCGGTCCGTTCAGTCAACCACCACATCCGTCGTTGTCAGAGGATCTGGAAAGACACCATCGCCAGCCTCAACCGGTCATCTGTGTCCACGAAACGCTTTGCGGACTCTAAGAGACGCCCAGCCCCTGAGTACGTCATTGGCCAAGAGGTATGGCTCTCCACACGAGACATCCCCCTCAAGGGAATGTCTAGAAAACTGTCTCCTCGATTCATTGGTCCCTACAAGGTTGCTCAGATAATAAACCCATCTGCCGTACGTCTTCACCTTCCTCCGAGTCTCTGGATCCATCCCACGTTCCACGTCTCCCAGATTAAGCCTGTTGTTTCTAGCCCCTTGTGCCCTCCATCCGACTCCCCTCCACCCGCCCTGGACATCGATGGACATCCTGCCTTCACCGTCCGCCGGATCGTGGACTCCCGTCGGCAAGGTCGCGGCTGGCAGTACCTCGTCGATTGGGAGGGCTACGGTCCGGAGGATCGCACATGGGTGCCTGGCTCTTATATCCTCGACCCATCACTGATCGAGGAGTATGAGAGCTCCCTCCCGTCGACGTCTTCTGGACCGCCAAGAGGCGGTCGTTGAGAGGGGGTACTGTTGGGATCTGGAGCTGTACCACCTTCCTCCAGCAGAGTGCGCCGTGGGTCCTCCAGAACTGGAACCTTCCAACACACCTGAGGCGCATCTCCTCATCAGAGACCTGCCTATATAACCTGCTTCCAGACCTTGCTTCGACGCCGCAGTGTTGACCTAGTTTGGTTAGCGACCTGAGCCTTGAACCAGAGAATCTTTGCTATCTCATTGATGAGATTTGATTCTAATTCTCCCTTGTTTTGTGCCTCACAGGAAACCTGTCTCTACCTGAGGCTCTGGATGAGCTTAACCTGCCGTGATTGCCCTCGTGAGCCAAACCTGAAGATTCCTCTGTGGATTCCCCTGCAGCTCTTGGCTAAGAGCTGGAAACTCAGATTAAGGTCTGCCCTCAAAGTCAGAAGCAAGATGCTGAAGCAACTCCTGGACTCTGCTGAACTAAAAGTCTTTGGACCCATCAAGTGCCCTCTCTCTCAAAGAGAAAACTGGACCACTTCAAGGTATTCATCTGAATACTCAAAGACTCATAACTCATCTGTTCGTTTGCTAACCAAACTATCATCTCTGCAGACTCCAGTGAACCAGCCCCTAACCAGTTCCCGTGCCAGTACATTATCCTTGTGTTTATTCTTAATAAACTCTGTTAAACTTTTATTCTACCTCCGTGTGTGTTCTGCATTTTGGGCTAGCTCTGATACCCATCATGACACCAATATTCTAATAAAGCTCTTACTAATCGCAGCTGTTGTTGCATTAGTGGAAATTAAAGTTGTCACATCAAGTGTTGAAAATGTAACAAAAGGAAAATAAATATATTGTATTTAGTGATGGAAATTGGTACGTTTGATTCAAAATATAAATTAATTCTTGATTAAGCCTTCAAGAGAATGTCGGCAAGCTTTATTTCAATTACATTTTAGTACATTTATTTAAAATAAACCAAGTGTAATCAGAATACTGTATCTATTGTGAGTGAACATAAACATAAATTCAAGTTTCAATCTGACAATCAGCGTTATTTGGCTTTTTTGGGGGTAAAAACTGCCTAATTTAAAATCTTAAAAATGTCATGGAAACAAGTTCTAACTTAAGTATAAAATAAAAATAATACTAGATTAACAGGGCTGGTGATATGAAATCCTGACAAGCACCATATGGTGGCAGCTTAAAGTGAATTTTGGCAAAACAAGTTCATCTTGAAACGAGCACCTCCTTAGAAATGGTTACTTAGATGAAGCAGACTAATAACCAGAGAATAAAGAGCCACGCTAACATAAAAGGCCCTTACTTGTCACTGAGGACGTCATGGTTTGTGGTGTAGCAGTTGTTGCATATCAGATTGTATGTATCAGATACATATCAGATTAGAAGTTAAAGTTGTTGGTGCTATAGTTGTTGGTGCTAAACCTAAAAAGATATACTGGCAATGTTTCCCTATTGTGGAAAATAATGTTTATTTATCCTAGATATTAACACTCTTGACCAAATTATAGATAGACCTTGTTTTTTGTCCAATTCAGGTACATCTAAGTTGATTTTAGCTGTTAATTAATTTGTACGGTAACCTTTAGATAAGAAGGACTGAAAAATAAGCAGAAAGTCAAATTTTAAAAGTATTTTCTGGCTTTGTTACTTTAGACCTTAGTGAGCAGCTTTTGGTTTTAGGCTGTAAATTGAAGACAGCTACCTAATCACTATAGAGAAACATCAGCAGCCAACTCTTAATGAAAAACAGAACAGAGGTCACTTGGAGGGCTTACCTGTTACTAAGGTTACAGGTGCTGTTGTGTTAAACCCAGTTGTGGCCTCAGTTGTTGAATCTGAGAAATTATATCAAGTTTATATCAGTTGTTAATAATCAGTTTCTTTGCTCTGTTTTCAAATCAGGCCAAATGTTCAGAAATTTCCCTTTTTTAATCTATAAATCACTATATCAATAGCAAACACACTGTACAGTAAGAAGCTGCAGAATGATCATTACGTTTTTTAATTGTCCTGTTAAGCTAACTCACAGTGAGAAGTCTATTTAAACAAAACCAAGATTCTAATAAAGCTCTTACTAATCGCAGCTGTTGTTGCATTAGTAGCAATTAAAGTTGTCATATCAAGTGTTGAATATGTAACAAAAGGAAAATAAATATATTGTATTTAGTGATGGAACTTGGTACGTTTGATTCAAAATATGAATTAATTCTTGATTAAGCCTTCAAGAGAATGTCGGCAAGCTCTATTTCAATTACATTTTAGTAAATTTATTTAAAATAAACCAAGTGCAATCAGAATACTGTATCTATTGTGAGTGAACATAAACATAAATTCACATTTCAATCTGACAATCAGCGTTATTTGACTTTTTGGGGGGTAAAAACTGCCTAATTTAAAATCTTAAAAATGTCATGGAAACAAGTTCTAACTTAAGTATAAAATAAAAATAATACTAGATTAACAGGGCTGGTGATATGAAATCCTGAAAGGCACCATATGGTGGCAGCTTAAAGTGAATTTTGGCAAAAGAAGTTCATCTTGAAACTGAGCACCTCCTTAGAAATGGTTACTTAGATGAAGCAGACTTTTGGGATCTGGAGGTCTGTCCACCTTCCTCCAGCAGAGGGCGCCTCTAGGTCTCCTGGAGCTGAGCTGACGACCACACCTGCGATCCATCAGTCATCAGGAGACCAGCATATAAGCAGCGGCAGGACTACACTCCAGCGCCAGAGTGTTAAGCCAGTTATGGTTAGCAAAGCCTGAGCCAACCAGTCTGTCTCATTCTCTGACTACCCTGAAACTTGAACTTGAACCTGATCAGTTTTTGTCTTCTCTGCCTCCTAGGAAGAAACCTGACTGAACCCTGGAACTCTGGAAGAGTTTCATCTGCTGAAATCTGCCTGCTGGCTCTCAGGAGCTCACCTGAAGAATCTAGTTGTCTGAACCCTCCTGCCCGCCCTCAAGAAGAGGATCGGAAGAAAACTCTGGATCTGAACACTGATAAGTCTGAAGTCAACCCTGCCGTTGCTTAGCCCTCTGCCAACTTCAAGCCTGTGGACCCAACCCGGTTCCCCTCCTCAGCTGCTAAACCTGAATCACGTCACAGGTACAAACCTGCACAATTCCTCTGGCACAGATCTACTGCACCCTGGCTAACCTAACTGTCCCTCTCTACAGAGAACCCTGTGTGACCAGTCCCGGATCTGTTTCTCTGCATAACTCATATTACTTGTGTTTATTTCAATAAACAGTCAAACTTTTCATCTGCCTCCGTTGTGTTCTGCATGTGGGTTAGAACTCTGAATCCCATCATGACACAGACTAATAACCAGAGAATAAAGAGGCGCACTAACATAAAAGCCCCTTACTTGTCACTGAGGACGTCATGGGTTGTGTTGTAGCAGTTGTTGCATTAGTAAAAACAGGCAATGAATCTGAAAGAGGGGAAAGTATTAGAGCTGACTGTCTGAACCATAGATATCAACTGAGTAGAAGATTAGAAGTTACAGTTGTTGTTGCTATAGTTGCTAAAAAGATATACTGGCAATGTTTCCCTATTGTGGAAAATAATGTTTATTTATCCTAGATATTAACACTCTTGACAAAATTATACATAAACCTTTTTTTTGTCCAATTCAGATACATCTAAGTTGATTTTAGCTGTGAATTAATTTGTACGGTAACCTTTAGATAAGAAGGACTGAAAAATAAGCAGAAAGTCACACTTTAAAAGTATTTTCTGGCTTTGTTGCTTTAGACCTTAGTGAGTAGCTTTTGGTTTTAGGCTGCAAATTGAAGACAGCTACCTAATCACTATAGAGAAACATCAGGAGCCAACTCTTAATGAAAAACAGAACAGAAATCACTTGGAGGGCTTACCTGTTACTAAGGTTGTAGGTGTTGTTGTGTTAAACCAAGTTGTGGCCTCAGTTGTTGAATCTGAGAAATTATATCAAGTTTATATCAGTTGTTAATAATCAGTTTCTTTGCTCTGTTTTTAAATCAGGCCAAATGTTCAGAATTTCCCTTTTTTATCTATAAATCACTATATCAATAGCAAACAAACTGTACAGTAAGAGTCTTGCAGAATGATCATTACGTTTTTTAATTGCCCTGTTAAGCTAACTCACAGTGAGAAGTCTAATAAAACAAACCCAAGATTCTAATGCCTGTTTAGTAATTAGTAAATATATATAAAATAATCCAACTGCCATCAATTGCATTATCTATTGTGAGTGGAATGTAAAATAAATTCAAATTTCATTGGAAAATCTAAAAATTTTTTTGTGCTTGTTTTGGGGTAAAAACTGCCCAATTTAAAATCTTAGAAATGTCATGAAAACCAATTCTATGTTTGATAAAATACAAGATAAAACTCAAACCAGATTAACATGACTGGTGATAACATGTTCATCATCAAACCGAGCATCTCCTTAGAAATGGTTACTTAGATGAAGCAGACTAATAACCGGAGAATAAAGAGCCACACTAACATAAAAGGCCCTTACTTGTCACTGAGGACGTCATGGGTTGTGGTGTAGCAGTTGTTGCATTAGTAAAAACAGGCAATGAATCTGAAAGAGAGGAAAGTATTAGAGCTGACTGTCTGAACCATAGATATCAACTGATTAGAAGTTACAGTTGTTGTTGTTGCTATAGTTGCTAAAAAGATATACTGGCAATGTTTCCTTATTGTGGAAAATAATGTTTATTTATCCTAGATATCAACACTCTTGACCAAATTATAGATAGACCTTGTTTTTTGTCCAATTCAGGTACATCTAAGTTGATTTTAGCTGTGAATTAATTTGTACGGTAACCTTTAGATAAGAAGGACTGAAAAATAAGCAGAAAGTCACACTTTAAAAGTATTTTCTGGCTTTGTTACTTTAGACCTTAGTGAGTAGCTTTTGGTTTTAGGGTGCAAATTGAAGACAGCTACCTAATCACTATAGAGAAACATCAGGAGCCAACTCTTAATGAAAAACAGAACAGAGGTCACTTGGAGGGCTTACCTGTTACTAAGGTTGTAGGTGTTGTTGTGTTAAACCAAGTTGTGGCCTCAGTTGTTGAATCTGAGAAATTATATCAAGTTCATAATAGTTGTTAATTATCAGTTTCTTTGCTCTGTTTTCAAATTAGGCCAAATGTTCAGAAATTTCCCTTTTTTAATCTATAAATCACTATATCAATAGCAAACACACTGTACAGTAAGAAGCTGCAGAATGATCATTACGTTTTTTAATTGTCCTGTTAAGCTAACTCACAGTGAGAAGTCTAATAAAAAACAAACAAACCCAAGATTGTAATAAAGCTCTTACTAATCGCAGCTGTTGTTGCATTAGTGGCAATTAAAGTTGTCACATCAAGTGTTGTATATATGACAAAAGGAAAATAAATATATTGTATTTAGTGACGGAAATTGGTACGTTTGATTCAAAATATCAATAAATTCTTAATCAAGACTTCAAGAGAATGTCGGCAAGCTTTATTTCAATTACATTTTGGTAAATTTATTTAAAATAAACCAAGTGCAATCAGAATACTGTATCTATTGTGAGTGAACATAAACATAATTTCAAATTTACATCTGACAATCAGCGTTATTTGGCTTTTTTGGGGGTAAAAACTGCCTAATTTAAAATCTTACAAATGTCATGGAAACAAGTTCTAAGTTTAGTAAAAAAATAAAAATAATACTAGATTAACAGGGCTGGTGATATGAAATCCTGAAAAGCACCATATGGTGGCAGCTTAAAGTGAATTTTGGCAAAGCAAGTTCATCATCAAACTGAGCACCTCCTTAGAAATGGTTACTTAGATGAAGCAGACTAATAACCAGAGAATAAAGAGCCACACTAACATAAAAGGCCCTTACTTGTCACTGAGGACGTCATGGGTTGTGGTGTAGTAGTTGTTGCATTAGTAAAAACAGGCAATGAATCTGAAAGAGAGGAAAGTATTAGAGCTGACTGTCTGAACCATAGATATCAACTGATTAGAAGTTACAGTTGTTGGTTCTGTTGTTGGTGCTAAACCTAAAAAGATATACTGGCAATGTTTCCCTATTGTGGAAAATAATGTTTATTTATCCTAGATATCAACACTCTTGACCAAATTATAGATAGACCTTGTTTTTTGTCCAATTCAGGTACATCTAAGTTGATTTTAGCTGTGAATTAATTTGTACGGTAACCTTTAGATAAGAAGGACTGAAAAATAAGCAGAAAGTCACACTTTAAAAGTATTTTCTGGCTTTGTTACTTTAGACCTTAGTGATTAGCTTTTGGTTTTAGGCTGCTAATTGAAGACAGCTACCTAATCACTATAGAGAAACATCAGGAGCCAACTCTTAATGAAAAACAGAACAGAGGTCACTTGGAGGGCTTACCTGTTACTAAGGTTGTAGGTGTTGTTGTGTTAAACCCAGTTGTGGCCTCAGTTGTTGAATCTGAGAAATTATATCAAGTTCATAATAGTTGTTAATAATCAGTTTCTTTGTTCTTTTTTTCAATCACTCCAAATATTCAACAATTTCCCTTTTTGTTAATCTATAAATCACTATATAAATAGCATACACACTGCACAGTAAGAAGCTGCAGAATGATCATTACGTTTTTTAATTGTCCTGTTAAGCTAACTCACAGTGAGAAGTCTAATAAAAAAAAAAAAAACAAGATTCTAATGACTGTTTAGTAATTAGTAAATATATATAAAATAACCCAACTGCCATCAATTGCATTATCTATTGTGAGTGGAATGTAAAATAAATTCAAATTTCAATCTGAAAATCTATTTTTTTTTTTTTTTTTTGCTTGTTTTGGGGTAAAAACTGCCCAATTTAAAATCTTAGAAATGTCATGAAAACCTATTCTATGTTTGATAAAATACAAAATAAAACTCAAACCAGATTAACATGACTGGTGATAACAAGTTCATCATCAAACCGAGCATCTCCTTAGAAATGGTTACTTAGATGAAGCAGACTAATAACCAGAGAATAAAGAGCCACACTAACATAAAAGGCCCTTACTTGTCACTGAGGACGTCATGGGTTGTGGTGTAGTAGTTGTCGCATTAGTAAAAACAGGCAATGAATCTGAAAGAGAGGAAAGCATTAGAGCTGACTGTCTGAACCATAGATATCAACTGATTAGAAGTTACAGTTGTTGGTTCTGTAGTTGTTGGTGCTAAACCTAAAAAGATATACTGGCAATGTTTCCCTATTGTGGAAAATAATGTTTATTTATCCTAGATATTAACACTCTTGACCAAATTATAGATAGACCTTGTTTTTTGTCCAAGTCAGGTACATCTAAGTTGATTTTAGCTGTGACTTAATTTGTACGGTAACCTTTAGATAAGAAGGACTGAAAAATAAGCAGAAAGTCACACTTTAAAAGTATTTTCTGGCTTTCTTACTTTAACTCTTAATGAAAAACTTAACAGAGGTCACTTAGATGGCTTACCTGTTACTAGGGTTGTAGGTGCTGTTGTGTTAAACCCAGTTGAGGCCTCAGTTGTTGAATCTGAGAAATTATATCAAGTTCATAATAGTTGTTAATTATCAGTTTCTTTGTTCTTTTTTCAAATCAGGCCAAATATTCAGAAATTTCAAATAACAAAAACACTGTACAGTAAGAAGCTACAGAATGATCTGATAAAGGTTTAAATTAATGTATATTGCATAAATTATATACGGTGAAAAACATCAAGGAACATTTTCTATATTTTTACTGATACTGTATAATAATTAAATATCCGAGACCCAAAAAATACTATTTTCATTTGTGAAGTTAGTTAGTTAAATTATGTTTTCTATGTATGTTATAACAATACGTTTTTATCAGGAAATCTTTGGAGGGAGTTCAAGATTAGGATCATGGCAACCTCAAAGACCTTATGCTCATTTGCAAAGATGAACTGGCAAGAAATTCTCTTGGTCGCATTTAAATATTCAGCAATATTGTAGGAAGGGTTTTATGGCATTAATACAGTTAACTTTTTAATATAGTGTTAAGTAGGGTACAAATAAGTTTCATTTAACAGAAAAAAACAGTCTAAATAAATAAAAAAACTCAGGGGATTTAAAAACTTTGGATTTAAATTTATTTTTGTTTTGAGATAATTAAGATATGAGGAAAGAGCAAGCAGCAATATAGTCTGCTGGTGTTTCCTATATGTAATTATTGGTTTTAACCTTGTTTAGGTCCTGGAAACACTAAGTTAGCAGGTTCAGCGGACCTGAAGGGTATTTATGGTTTTAAAAAATTCTGTTTTCAGAGGTCAAAAAGCCTAGATTTAGACAGCAATCCTAGGAGCTCAATATGTAATTCTATTCAAAAACCCATCCTGCATTATGCATCTGTTCCTGGCACTGCTTTTTTAGTCCTTCCTTCTACACTTCCCTGTTTCTTCTCCTGCCAATCCTCATCGGCCAAAAAGTTACTTAGAGTATGTTCTAGCAATGGTCTTGGTTATATCAGCTAGGTCAAATCCAGCTTTTATTGCTTACAGCAATTTTAGCTCTACTAAGCCTATAAAATAAGCCAAAGAGAGACCAGTTTGGTATGCAACACTCATACCACAGGCCCACACCCCCTGGGAGGGGGAACCTTCAATTTGTCCAGATGTGATACCACTTAGCTTTATCAAGTTGAATTGTTAAACAAAATTCAAACGTTTTGGTGATTGACCTGGTAGAGACACATCTGTCTTTTGTTGTTTCTATATTGAAACTGGAAGGTTATACTCATATCTCCCTTTATTATGCAAAATGTCACATTGACACAAGTTGATGTTACTGTTCCACCAGTAGCCACAAGGGCAGCAACAATGTTTTATGGATTTGGTTTGGCCTTAAACAGGCTGGTTTGGGAATCCTCCCTAATTTAAACAAACAGCCCAATCACATTTATGACTAAAGTCTAAATAGATTTCAAATCACCAACTCAGACACACATATATGGTGTTCAGTATAGCATGGTCAACATGTTGTCAACCCAAACACAGCAAATACTTCAAGCTGTAGCCTAGAATTAGCGACATTCTTAGAGTAAATTTTTTAGAAAACCTTACTTGTAAAAGTAATTGTATCAGATGCATTAGTGGTAGCTTGGGTTGAACCTGTAGGAGAGTAAGTGTTGCAACTGACAGAGATCTTCTGAAGTTTGCACTTTAAAACTGAGAAGCTGATCCTTTCTTTAGGTACTCACTTGTCACAGTTGTTGAGGCTTGAGTTGTAGCACCTGGAGTTGAAGCTGTGGGGAAAAAAATTATATATTTACATGAGAAATGTAGAAAACTCATTAAATATGGTGACCAAGTAAGAAAGTTAGCAACTTTGCATTGAACTTTCCATTCTGCATTCTATTATTAGTGTTTCATTGTTGTTGGTTTTTTTTTTGTCAGCTCTGCAGACCGCTGATAACAGGGACTGCCTTTCTGAAGTGACATCAGTCACAAACAGATCAATGAGAACCTCCCCCCTGTGAACTACTTCTGTTAAATTGTTAAATTTTTTCCGTCAAGAATTTAATCAGTCAATCAATGATCCTATCAACCCAACGGAGCAACTGGGGTCAGTCATCAAAGCCTTAGCTACCTCCAGCTTATGAGAAGGTTAGTGGCTTTGATTCAGTGTACCCTCAACACCGCCGAGTTGTTCCTGGTCACTAACCCTGCTAACCCTGAAATGCAAGGATCTGCTATTCTCATGATGTTTCAATCAAATCATTCTTTAGGGTGTTCAATCCCATTCTATCAAGTGGAAAGGCTTCAACAAGATTATTCACCATCAGACAGAACAGGCATGCTGTGACCTAAAGTAAATTTCGGCTTGTATACACTCTGTGTACAAAATGACAATAAAAACTGTCTAAGTTTAAGTCACTATGAAATCGATTTTCATATAACGGCAGCAGACAGTAATTGGAACGGGGAGGATCTGAGTGCATTATCGCAATAGAAATCCTTACCTGTCAAAGCTGTTGTATTTGTTGTAGCATTAGTGGCAGCTTGTGTTGAAGCTGTTGGTGAAAACAAAACTTTTCAAACTAAATTTTACAGTATTAAACAACTTTCATAAACAATTCTATCTTTATTACAGCAATGTCTAGCAAACCATCATTTTATTATAGCTAGGGACTTACTTCCAAAAGTTGAGGCTGTAGTAGCAGAATCTGAAGTTGAAGCTGTAAACAATTTATAGTTTTAAACAGTTTGATTTTTGCATGATTATTTGTTTCTTTTTTTTTGTTTGTCTGATTCATTAACGCCATACTTCTGTCTGATTGAAAATAAATTCTGAGTCATTGTTGCCTCTTTTAGTGCTGGAGACATACATTGCGGCCAATTCCATTTGTAAGACCATCTTTTCATGAGCTGGAGTGCCCTATTTGTTTTGTCTCTCCTACTGCACTTGTGAATGTCGTCCGCCAAGCCTACAGAGCAGAGCGCCACCGACTGCTGAAAGTTGTGAACTCCCGCTCTATTCCTGGGCAGGAATCGGGGGGGAGGCCATTTGTGTTTCTGCATCATGGGCATCCCAAAGCACATTCACCAGATTCTACAATGTCCAAGTAACTACCCTTGATCTCATGGGAGAGGTTGTTCTGTGAGGTTTTGCTAGGCTCTCTCAGTGAGGCATGTGCTCAGGATTCCTAGTGACATTGTTATTATTGGTCATTCACTGCTTTCTACAACAGCCTCTAGCAGTTAGCAGTGATGAAATAAAATGAAAGTTACATACTAATATCCATTCAAAATGGCCCTTCCTAATCAAATACCAGCCGAATGGCAGCAGGCTCCCCTGCAACTCCCAGCAATTTCCCCTCAAACTTCCACCCACTAGAGTGACCCCCTTTACCGAATTATCAGATCATAATGTCCACAAATCATGACAGAAAGAATATTTTAGTACAAAGATTGATGTTTAAAAAGGAATTGTAGGGGCCAGCCAAGGAACCATCATGGAAAGTGGGGAAATGTTTAATTGCTTCCACTGTATGTAGCTACAGTTCTATAAATCCTGCAGACCCACCAGAGCTTCTCTGTCACACAGAATCCATGCTTCTGTGAACAGATTCTGTTGGCACAGGGCCTCAGATGACACCATCATATATATCTCTTGAGTGGTCATCCAGGGTGTCACAGGTAACTCGAGGCATGTTTATTTGTATAGCACAATTCACTACATGGATAGTTCAGATTTCTTTACATGAATTAGCTAACAAAATTAAATTAGTGCAGTAGTAATTAAAGAAGAGTTTTTGGACCTCCCCTTTAAGCCCAGTGAGAACATACACTATATTGCCAAAAGTATTTGCTCACCTGCCTTGACTCACATATGAGCTTAAGTGACATCCCGTTCCTAATCCATAGGGTTCAATATGACGTCGGTCCACCCTTTGCAGCTAGAACAGCTTCAACTCTTCTGGGAAGGCTGTCCACAAGGTTTAGGAGTGTGTTTATGGGAATTTTTGACCATTCTTCCAGAAGCGCATTTGTGAGGTCGCACACTGATGTCGGACGAGAAGGCCTGGCTCTCAGTCTCCGCTCTAATTCATCCCAAAGGTGTTCTATCGGGTTGAGGTCAGGACTCTGTGCAGGCCAGTCAAGTTCATCCACACCAGACTCTGTCATCCATGTCTTTATGGACCTTGCTTTGTGCACTGGTGCACAGTCATGTTGGAAGAGGAAGGGGCCAGCTCCAAACTGTTCCCACAAAGTTGGGAGCATGGAATTGTCCAAAATGTCTTGGTATGCTGAAGCATTCAGAGTTCCTTTCCTTGGAACTAAGGGGCCAAGCCCAGCTCCTGAAAAACAACCCCACACCATAATCCCCCCTTCACCAAACTTTACACTTGGCACAATGCAGTCAGACAAGTACCGTTCTCCTGGCAACCGCCAAACCCAGACCCGTCCATCAGATTGCCAGATGGAGAAGCGCGATTCGTCACTCCAGAGAACGCGTCTCCACTGCTCTAGAGTCCAGTGGCGGCGTGCTTTACACCACCGCATCCGACGCTTTGCATTGCACTTGGTGATGTATGGCTTGGATGCAGCTGCTCGACCATGGAAACCCATTCCATGAAGCTCTCTGCGCACTGTTCTTGAGCTAATCTGAAGGCCACATGAAGTTTGGAGGTCTGTAGTGATTGACTCTGCAGAAAGTTGGCGACCTCTTCGCACTATGCGCTTCAGCATCCGCTGACCCCGCTCCGTCAGTTTACGTGGCCTACCACTTCGTGGCTGAGTTGCTGTCGTTCCCAAACACTTCCATTTTCTTATAATACAGCTGACAGTTGACTGTGGAATATTTAGGAGCGAGGAAATTTCACGACTGGATTTGTTGCACAGGTGGCATCCTATCACAGTTCCACGCTGGAATTCACTGAGCTCCTGAGAGCGACCCATTCTTTCACAAATGTTTGTAAAAACAGTCTGCATGCCTAGGTGCTTGAATTTATACACCTGTGGCCATGGAAGTGATTGGAACACCTGATTCCAATAATTTGGATGGGTGAGCAAATACTTTTGGCAATATAGTGTACTTGAACATGAAGGACTTACTGTTAACGAAAGGTGTAATGGTTGTTGTCCCTGCAAGAATAAAAACACATTCCAGCAAAGTACTAGATCAATAAAAAAAACTTTTTAGACAGAAAATGTGTTTCTATTTAAGATATTTGTATTTCTATTTCACAGACAAATCCAAACTTGTTCCTTTTTGTACTTTCTCAAAATGTCTCATCAGTATTATAAAACAGCATTGAACTTATTTGATATAAAAAACAACAGAACCATTCCAAAAAGTTTAAAAACAATCCACTGGACTTTGTTTCAAAGTTTGAAGACGTTTCACTTCCCATCCAGGAAGCTTTTTCAATTCAAAATATCAGAAATAGCGTTGAGGTTGAGACTTTATAGGGTGGACCAAACACAAAACCTTGTTTTGACTTAGAAAGCAAAGCAGAATCATCAAATACACCAATTGAAGAAGTATGGTTGTGTTTCATACCAATAGTAGTTTGCATCCGACAGGTATCAAGTTCTGTTTTAAAAAGGAAGAGCGAATTTCAGAACGGACCACTGTTATTGGAAGTAAGAAAACTATTAATGAAAAAGTTATAAAATATGTGCACTTACCTGACAGTGGCTGGCAATAAGTATCATTTGGAGGAAGAGCATTGATGCATCTACAGGTATTGTCCTGAATGTTGCTGCATTCGCCAAAAGTGGAGCACATGTCACAAGGCCAGGCATACTGATCCTCACATCTGCACTGGTAGGTTGTATTATTGGGGAAACAAACTGAAAGCAAGACAGATTGTTTAAAAACAACAACAAAAAAAGATAAATCAAATTACACTACATTTTATCTAGTGTGCCATAGTGGCAGTTATTACCTGTAGAAATCTTAAGATCAGAGATCTGTAGGTCATTGTTAATGCTAATGGTGAAGCTGAGGTTTCGTATCTTTCCTACAGCTGCATCATCTGTGGTTTTCAGCTCAATAAACAGGTTGTATTGATGGGTTACATGCTTAGCTGCAAAGAGAAACATTTAAAGCAAATGTGTATATAAGTATATTCTGGTTTCAGAGTGCTTATATTGAAAATGTGATGACAGGAATTAATACATGACAAAATAAAAGCATAAATATGTGACAAAATAAAAGCCTGAATATTCTGAATCCTAATGCTCGGATTACAATGAACTTAAGGATAAAGAAATGAAGCATCGATACTTTTGACAAATGGGTTGACAGAATCTTTACAATCACCAGTTAACTGCAGAAATTGCAACACCTCCTCAACTGCCCCTTCAATAAGTCTAATCAGGCTCCCAGAGGTCAACTGAACCCCTGGTCCCTATTCATTCAGCTGCTGTGCTGATGCTTGGGAAACATAGAAGCTCTAAGAAAAGTAATAAGTAATTTTTGAACGGTAGGAGGAAACAGAAGACTAAATACTCAGAAAAGACCCAGCAAAGAATTTAAAGCAGAAACCTTCCACCTGTGAGGCGGCAATGCTAACTAACGATCCAACAGAAAAACAAAAGAAAGAAAAACGAGTATTTAAATAAAAGTCTCTGAGTTCTGAGCAGCTTGATAATGTGCTTTCACATATAATACGTGACAGATAGAAGTGCAAACACATTAGATTCATTATAGAGCAATAAAAACATCTAAAGCGTTTGAAAAAAATAACACTAAACTATCTTCCAAGAAAATGTACTACAGTGATCAGCTATATTCTCTCACTTGTTGCAGCTGTTGTTGAAGCTATTGAAGTGTTCCTGGCTGTGAATGTGGTAAGTAAAAAAATCAGTGAGATATATCAATATTGTTGTAAAATAATTTGATTGGATGAAAAAAAAAAAGATTCACTTAATTTTTATTACTTACTGGGAACTTGGAATGTTGTATTAATTGGAGGTGTAGGAGTGGTTGACTCTGCAGATACATTTTGGACAAATAAACATTGTAGAAGCTGTAAATATGAGGTTTTCTTTACAACTCAGCAACAAACATCAGAATTTGTAAACGACATTTCACTTTCCATCCAGGAAGCTTTTCCATTCATTCTATAGCATTTAAATGAAAAAGCTTACTGGATGGAAAGTGAAACGCATTAAAACTTGGAAAATCAACTCCAGTAGATCGGGTTTTTTTGGAATTACAGTTCTATATCATTTATGACACTTTGTAAAGTCTGAAAAGATAAAGACAAAAAGGGAGAAAGTGAATGCATATGGATAGTGCCATTACTCTCAAAATATGCCTCACTACATAGTAGGCTCCCTCAGTTTAATTCAGTTTCATTTATAGTGCCAATTGAAAACACATATCATCCAATGTACTTTACAAAGACATTTCAAACAGATCATTCAGCTGAGAAAATAAGTATGTCTACGAGGGAAAAAAGGGAGTAAGACTGACAAAAAAATTAAAGGTCTATCATCTTCTGTAAATTAGCTGCATTCATGGCTCTTTTTAGCAAGGAAATAGTCACAATAAAAGCTGAGCCCATAGCTATGTATATACCAGAGAAATGGGAGAAAGCACTGACAAAAAATTCCAGTTCTGTCATCTTCAACTCAAGATGCTGATGGTGGCAGCGCAGCTGATTTTTCTACCCCAGGTTGCTGTTCACAGCCAAACAGAACCAGACCAGATAAAAGATGAAGTTTTAGTTTTTCTCTCTGTGCCAACTAACTGAAAAACACTGTTTGAATTAAAACTACTAAGGATACAATAAATTAAATATGCTTCTTCAGCAGCATATGGTGCTGTTTCACACATTTCATGTTGGTTTAGAATTTACCATAGATTTTCAAAACATATTACGTGGCAGCAAAAAGACAAAAAACAAACCCAAATATTCTTTAGTAACTAGAAGCCTTAACAGAATCTGAGAGTAGATTTTTTCAGGTTTAAAAGCATCTTTTGGTCAGAGAATCTAGCGATCTGACCAGGTTATTCCATTTAATGGAGAAATCACATCAAGTTTTTTACCAAATCCAACTGAACTCACTGTATTGATCCAGAGACTGGCAGTACTGTCCATCAGCAGGAATGCCATTAATGCATCCACAAGTGTCTCCAGTTATGTTGTCACATGATCCATATGTTTGACACTGGTCACATGACCAACGATACTGATCCTCACATCTGCACTGGTAACCACCGCCGATTGGAGAGCAAACTGGGGGAAAAACAGTTCAGTTACAGCAGGTCTGATTAGATAGGTGGAGAGTTCACTTTGAAACTGAGATCTTCTTCACAACTTCTGGATATATGGAAACAAATACAAACTCATTTGCTTCATGCATATATTTTTTGGATTATCATGCTTAAATAAATCACTGTCTATCATTTAACAGTATAATGGTAAATCTTTGAATCTATTGGTCTTACCGGTAGAGATGTTAACATCAGAGATCTCTATGTTGCTGTTGATGCTGATGGGGTAGCTGATTTTCCTCAGTTCTCTAACAGCTTCAACATCTGTACTGTTCAGCTCAACATGAAGAATGTAGAGATAAACAAATGGTGGGGCTGTAGGGAGTGAAATTAAAAATGAGATTTAGGACAAAAGTTAGAGTGGGTAAAGTGTTTCTATTTCAGATTATTACAGTTCTATATCATTTATGTATTAAAACGACTATCTTACGTGCTGTTGTGGTATCTGAGCAATTTGTAAAGTCTGTAAATATAAAGACAAAGAAGGAGAGACTGAATGCATATAGATACATAGATAATGGCATTACTCTCAATATGTGCTTCACTCTATATTGGGTTTCCTCAGCTTGATTCACTTTAATTTAGTTTATTACATAATGTCAAATCAAAACACACGTAATACAAAATACTTTACAGAGTCAATACAAACTGATCAGTGTGATTGGTTCAACGTTTTCTGTCTAAAGAAAACTAGCTGATTTTTTTCCCCAGGTTGCTGTTCACAGCCAAACAGAACCAGACCAGATAAAATATGAAGTTCAAGATTTTCTCTCTGTGCCAATTAACTGAAAAACACTGTTTGAATTAAAACTACCGTATTTTCACGACTATAAAGCGCACTTAAACGTCTTTTTTTTCCCTCAAAATGTGCGGTGCGCCCTTTGGTGCGGTGCGCCCTATGTGTGTTGTAGCTGCGACTTTTGAGACCACCTCATTGAGGAGATGATGAAAGAGTGGCTGAATGTAAGGAGACCAGGTGTTTTTTTTCCACTCATCACCATCGCTGTTAATATGTAACTCCATGCGTGCCCATCTCACAGCTGATGTGAAAAACATGGGGAAACAAATTAACGCTGTGCTCGCTGTTCAACCGCTCGACATCGGTGTGAACCGGACCCAGCAGGTGCAGCAGAAGCAGCGAGTTTACATGCAAAGTCAATGGTTGACGCGCGTATAGGCACAGCAAAAGGTCCCGCAGCGCGTTTTGAGCAGCAGGCGCTGTGCGTCGGGAGCGTTTAAGCATCTGAGGCGCCGCCAACACGCTGCTGCTGCTCGAGATGGAAAAATTTAAGTTTTGCTGCTGGACGCGCCGCATCAACCAATCAGAGAAGCTGATGTGGGAGCTGACAGCGAGACAGACACAGCGCTCTGATGACATATGATATTAAGGCAAATGAAAAAGGCTGGATGGATGAGGAGATGATGAAAGCGTGGCTGAGGCAGGTGTATGTAAGGAGACCAGGTGGTTTTTTTCACGCATCACCATCGCTGTTAATCTGTGACTGCGTGCCCATCTCACAGCCGATGTGAAAAAAAAAAAAAAGGTGATTCAAATGAACGCTGTTCTTGCCGTTATCCCGGGAGGTCTGACAAAGGAACTTTAACCGCTCGACGTCGGTGTGAACCGGCCGTTCAAAGTAAGGCTGCGAGCGGCGTGGCAGCGATGAATGACCGACGGAGACCACAGTTTCAGGATAAGTGGAAGGCAGCGGCGGGCAAGTTACGCCACCGTTTGCGGATGGATTGTAGATGCTTGGACTAACGTGTCTGCTGGCTCTGTTGTTCAAGCTTTCGCAAAAGCCAGCATTATTTCTGAGGAGCCGCCCGGCACGGAAAGTGACTCTGACAGGGAAGAAGGGGAAATTGGCATGTCTGATTTAGCGCAGCTGTTTAATTCAGAAACAGAGGATGATGACTTTGATAGGTTTGATTAATACTTTGTAATAAATACATGAATAAAGCACAATCATACTCAGTTTTGCTCCCGCTCTATTTTTCTACCTGAAAACTTAATTCAACAGCAGCCTCTGGGCCGGGTCTCCTCCGGTTTCACCGCGGCGGCTGGCAGGTGTTTTTTCATCTAAATAATCTAAATCTTGCAGCTATATTTGCTGTGATCAGTGGGAATAAAGTAGTTTTAATATGTTTTTAAGTGAGAACGTCCACCTGAAAACTTCATAATTGCAGTCAGTTCATCCAGATTATTATCCTGCCTATACTATTTCTGTCGGAGGCGCTCAGACCCCCACATACCAGCGGTACACCGACAGTAGAAATCCCTTCAACAGCAGCCTCTGGGCCGGGTCTCCTCCGGGTTCACTCGGTGGCTGGCAGGTGTTTTTCATCTAAATAATCTAAACTGCAGGCACCAGGATACCGGTAATAAAAGAGAACATATTCCGTCGGCAGGTTTCAGGAGTTTAATTTAATTTAGAAGTGATCACAGTACTCTGTCATCTGCGATGTGTCTGTCTCACGGCCAGCTCCCAGGTTTGATTAATACTTTGTAATAAATACATGAATAAAGCACAGTCATACTCAGTTTTGCCCCCGCTGTATTTTTAAATACGCAGTAGAGGTATTTAAACGTAGTAGAGGACATGTACCTGTATATAAAAAACGTGCCCTATAGTCCGGTGCGCCTTATGTGTGTGTTAAATACAGAAATGGGACACATAACTGAGAGTGCGCTTTTTAGTACGGTGCGCCTTATGGTCATGAAAATACGGTACTAAGGATACAATAAATTAAATATGCTTCTTCAGCAGCAGATGGTGCTGTTTCACACATTTCATGTTAGATTAGAATTGACCATGGAGGTACAAAACATATTGTTGCAAAGAAACTACATAAAACAAACAAATATTCTTTAGTAACTAGAAGCCTTAACAGAATCTGACAGTCCATTCCTTCAGGGCGAAACATATCTTTGCCTTAGAGAATCTAGTGATCTGATCAGGTTATTCCATTTAATGGAGAAATCACATCAAGGTGTTTACCAACTCCAACTGAACTCACTGTATTGATCCAGAGACTGGCAGTACTGTCCATCAGCAGGAATGCCATTAATGCATCCACAAGTGTCTCCAGTTATGTTGTCACATGACCCATATGTTTGACACTGGTCACATGACCAACGATACTGATCCTCACATCTGCACTGGTAACCACCGCCGATTGGAGAGCAAACTGGAGGAGAAACAGTTCAGTTACAGCAGGTGTGATTAGATAGGTGGAAAGTTCACTTTGAAACTGAGATCTTCTTCACAACTTCTGGATATATGGAAACAAATACAAACTCATTTGTTCTTGCATATGTGTTTTGGTTTATGATGCATAAATAAATTAATATCTAACTATTATTTAACAGTATAATAGTAAATCTTTGAATCTATTGGTCTTACCGGTAGAGATGTTAACATCAGAGATCTCTATGTAGCTGTTGATGCTGATGGGGTAGCTGATTTTACTCAGTTCTATAACAGCTGCAACATCTGTACTGTTCAGCTCAACATGAAGAATGTAGAGATAAACAAATGGTGGGGCTGCAGGGAGTGAAATTAAAATGAGATGTAGGAGAAAAGTTAGAGTGGGTAAAGTGTTTCTATTTCAGATTAATACAGTTCTATATCATTTATGTATTAAAACGACTATCTTACGTGCTGTTGTGGTATCTGAGCAATTTGTAAAGTCTGTAAAGATAAAGACAAAGAAGGAGAGACTGAATGCATATAGATACATAGATAATGGCATTACTCTCAATATGTGCTTCACTCTATATTGGGTTTCCTCAGCTTGATTCACTTTAATTTACTTTATTACATAATGTCAATTCAAAACAAACGTAATACAAAATACTTTACAGAGTCAATACAAACTGATCAGTGTGATTGGTTCAACGTTTTCTGTCTAAAGAAAACTAGCTGATTTTTTTCCCCAGGTTGCTGTTCACAGCCAAACAGAACCAGACCAGATAAAATATGAAGTTCAAGATTTTCTCTCTGTGCCAATTAACTGAAAAACACTGTTTGAATTAAAACTACCGTATTTTCACGACTATAAGGCGCACTTAAACGTCTTTTTTTCCCTCAAAATGTGCGGTGCGCCCTTTGGTGCGGTGCGCCCTATGTGTGTTGTAACTGCGACTTTTGAGACCACCTCATTGAGGAGATGATGAAAGAGTGGCTGAATGTAAGGAGACCAGCTGTTTTTTTTCCACCCCTCACCATCGCTGTTAATATGTAACTCCATTCATGCCCATCTCACAGCTGATGTGAAAAACATGGTGAAACAAATTAACGCTGTGCTCGCTGTTCAACCGCTCGACATCGGTGTGAACCGGACCCAGCAGGTGCAGCAGAAGCAGCGAGTTTACATGCAAAGTCAATGGTTGACGCGCGTATAGGCACAGCAAAAGGTCCCGCAGCACGTTTTGAGCAGCAGGCGCTGTGCGTCGGGAGCGTTTAAGTATCTGAGGCGCCGCCAACACGCTGCTGCTGCTCGAGATGGAAAAATTTAAGTTTTGCTGCTGGACGCGCCGCATCAACCAATCAGAGAAGCTGATCTGGGAGCTGACAGCGAGACAGACACAGCGCTCTGATGACATATGATATTAACGCAAATGAAAAAGGCTGGATGAATGAGGAGATGATGAAAGCCTGGCTGAGGCAGGTGTATGTAAGGAGACCAGGTGGTTTTTTCCACGCATCACCATCGCTGTTAATCTGTGACTGCGTGCCCATCTCACAGCTGATGTGAAAAAAAAAAAAAGGTGAATCAAATGAACGCTGTGTTCGCCGTTATCCCGGGGGGTCTGACAAAGGAACTTTAACCGCTCGACGTCGGTGTGAACCGGCCGTTCAAAGTAAGGCTGCGAGCGGCGTGGCAGCGATGAATGACCGACGGAGACCACAGTTTCAGGATAAGTGGAAGGCAGCGCCGGGCAAGTTACGCCACCGTTTGCGGATGGATTGTAGATGCTTGGACTAACGTGTCTGCTGGCTCTGTTGTTCAAGCTTTCGCAAAAGCCAGCATTATTTCTGAGGAGCCGCCCGGCACGGAAAGTGACTCTGACAGGGAAGAAGGGGAAATTGGCATGTCTGATTTAGCGCAGCTGTTTAATTCAGAAACAGAGGATGATGACTTTGATGGGTTTGATTAATACTTTGTAATAAATACATGAATAAAGCACAATCATACTCAGTTTTGCTCCCGCTCTATTTTTCTACCTGAAAACTTAATTCAACAGCAGCCTCTGGGCCGGGTCTCCTCCGGTTTCACCGCGGCGGCTGGCAGGTGTTTTTCATCTAAATAATCTAAATCTTGCAGCTATATTTGCTGTGATCAGTGGGAATAAAGTAGTTTTAATATGTTTTTAAGTGAGAAAGACCACCTGAAAACTTCATAATTGCAGTCAGTTCATCCAGATTATTATCCTGCCTATACTATTTCTGTCGGAGGCGCTCAGACCCCCACATACCAGCGGTACACCGACAGTAGAAATCCCTTCAACAGCAGCCTCTGGGCCGGGTCTCCTCCGGGTTCACCGCGGTGGCTGGCAGGTGTTTTTCATCTAAATAATCTAAACTGCAGGCACCAGGATACCGGTAATAAAAGCGAACATATTCCGTCGGCAGGTTTCAGGAGTTTAATTTAATTTAGAAGTGATCACAGTACTCTGTCATCTGCGATGTGTCTGTCTCACGGCCAGCTCCCAGGTTTGATTAATATTTTGTAATAAATACATGAATAAAGCACAGTCATACTCAGTTTTGCCCCCGCTGTATTTTTAAATACGCAGTAGAGGTATTTAAACGTAGTAGAGGACATGTACCTGTATATAAAAAACGCGCCCTATAGTCCGGTGCGCCTTATGTGTGTGTTAAATACAGAATTGGGACACATAACTGAGAGTGCGCTTTTTAGTACGGTGCGCCTTTTGGTCGTGAAAATACGGTACTAAGGATACAATAAATTAAATATGCTTCTTCAGCAGCAGATGGTGCTGTTTCACACATTTCATGTTAGATTAGAATAGACCATGGAGGTACAAAATTTATTGTTGCAAAGAAACTACATAAAACAAACAAATATTCTTTAGTAACTAGATGCCTTAACAAAGTCTAACAGTAGATTCCTTCAGGGCTAAAAACATCTCTTGCTGAGAGAATCTAGTGATCTGATGAGGTTTAATGGAGAAATCACATCAAGGTTTTTACCAACTCCAACTGAACTCACTATATTGATCCAGAGACTGGCAGTACTGTCCATCAGCAGGAATGCCATTAATGCATCCACAAGTGTCTCCAGTTATGTTGTCACATGATCCATATGTTTGACACTGGTCACATGACCAACGATACTGATCCTCACATCTGCACTGGTAACCACCGCCGATTGGAGAGCAAACTGGAGGAGAAACAGTTCAGTTACAGCAGGTCTGATTAGATAGGTGGAAAGTTCACTTTGAAACTGAGATCTTCTTCACAACTTCTGGATATATGGAAACAAATACAAACTCATTTTCTTCATGCAAATTTTTTTTGGTTTATCATGCATAAATAAATCAATGTCTACCATTTAACAGTATAATAGTACATCTTTGAATCTATTGGTCTTACCGGTAGTGATGTTAACATCAGAGATCTCTATGTAGCTGTTGATGCTGATGGGGTAGCTGATTTTCCTCAGTTCTCTAACAGCTTCAACATCTGTACTGTTCAGCTCAACATGAAGAATGTAGAGATAAACAAATGGTGGGGCTGTAGGGAGTGAAATTAAAAATGAGATTTAGGACAAAAGTTAGAGTGGGTAAAGTGTTTCTATTTCAGATTATTACAGTTCTATATCATTTATGTATTAAAACGACTATCTTACGTGCTGTTGTGGTATCTGAGCAATTTGTAAAGTCTGTAAAGATAAAGACAAAGAAGGTGAGACTGAATGCATATAGATACATAGATGATGGTATTACTCTCAATATGTGCTTCACTCTATATTGGGTTTCCTCAGCTTGATTCACTTTAATTTACTTTATTACATAATGTCAAATCAAAACACACGTAATACAAAATACTTTACAGAGTCAATACAAACTGATCAGTGTGATTGGTTCAACGTTTTCTGTCTAAAGAAAACTAGCTGATTTTTCTCCCCCAGGTTGCTGTTCACTGCCAAACAGAACCAGACCAGATAAAATATGAAGTTTTTGTTTTTCTCTCTGTGCCAATTAACTGAAAAACACTGTTTGTATCAAACTACTAAGGATACAATAAATTAAATATGCTTCTTCAGCAGCAGATGGTGCTGTTTCACACATTTCATGTTAGATTAGAATTGACCATGGAGGTACAAAACATATTTTTGCAAAGAAACTACATAAAAACAAACAAATATTCTTTAGTAACTAGAAGCCTTAACAAAGTCTAACAGTAGATTCCTTCAGGGCTAAAAGCATCTCTTGCTGAGAGAATCTAGTGATCTGATCGGGTAATTCAATTTAAAGGAGAAATCACATCAAAGTTTTTACCAACTTCAACTGAACTCACTGTATTGATCCAGAGACTGGCAGTACTGTCCATCAGCAGGAATGCCATTAATGCATCCACAAGTGTCTCCAGTTATGTTGTCACATGATCCATATGTTTGACACTGGTCACATGACCAACGATACTGATCCTCACATCTGCACTGGTAACCACCGCCGATTGGAGAGCAAACTGGAGGAAAAACATTAGATAGATAATATTACAACAGGATCACTCCAAATGGGAACTCTCTTTTAAGTTTTATATGGTCTTGGGAACAATATCTTTCATATAATTTCTTACCTGTAGTGAAGGCAATCTGTGTGACATTCACTACAGTGTTTGTAGTAAAAGCGCTCCCATTGTTCAGAAGAATTCTGAGGAAATCCACTGTTGCAACATCTGTTACATTCAGCTCCACATCAATTTCATATTCAGTCTGAACAAGCAACTCTGTAAGATATTGGAAAAGGAGAAATTTGTACATCAAAGACCTTGTTCGGGGACTGTCCTTAGATAAACCTATCAGTCCAAATTTTAGAAACTGAAACAGTTTATTACTTGTATTCTAAAACAGGAGCACACACACACACACACACACACAATTCTCTCACTCTCTTTGCTGGGCCTTTCTATTGACTTCTATTTATTTCAATTTATAGCCTAACCATGACCCTTACCCTTACCATTACAGGTTCATACCTAACCCTAACCCCAACCTAAATTAATTTCATAGCTTAGTCCGAAACCTGATCCCTGACTCAAAAACAATTATTCCCCACAATGTGCTATTTTCCCTTAAAATGGGCCATACAATGTATTAAACACAAGAGCACACACACACATATCTTCTAATTTAATGTAAATGTTAATTTATTGCATTTAATTTCCATTCAGTTTCCATCGTGCTTATCCCAAGCGGGGTCGCGAGGGGTGCTGGTGCTTATCTCCAGCTATCTACAGGCGACAGGCAGGGTCCATCCTGAAGAGGTCACCAGTCCATCGCAGGGCAACACAGAGACAAACAAGACAAACAGCCATTCGCGCGCACACTCACACCTGAGGAGAATTTAGAATAACTTTTAGTTTAACTCATTACATTTTCTACGTAGCTCATCTACGGGAGTGGCTGCATTGCGCTTGGATCCCAGAGGTTCTGAATTTAAGGCCCACTCCCAAAGACTGCGCTGCAAAAACAATCCAGAAATAAGTAAAAAATGGCTTAAATTAAGTATATTTAGCCTTAATTTGAGCAGGTAAATAAGATGATTTGCCAATGGAATGAGTATTTTCACTCTTAAAATAAGATAGTTAGATAATATTTACTTGAAATAAGACGATAAAATAGTTTTTTCTTATTTTAAAAGGAAATTGTCTTGTTCCATTGGCAAAGTGTCTTACTTATCTCCTCAAATCAAGGAAAAACACACTTATTTTAAGAAAAAATAACTTATTGAGATTTATATTTTTTGCAGTGTGCCATTCTGGGTCCCTGAGCAAGACCCTTAACCCCACACTTCTCCCCGGACACTGCACAATGTCAGCCCACTGCTCCCCAAATGCAGAGATTGAATTTTGTTGCTCTGTACTTGTGGCAGTGTAATGACAATAAAGCTGAATTCTAAACTGGGGACGGCATACATTCAGAAAATAACCCCAAGATGACAATAAAGAAGAAGGCTTTAGACAGGCAGCAGAGGAGCTAGGATGTAAGATATCAGAAGCTATTGGCATCACAACATGTAAATAAGGATATAGACAGCAAAACTTATATCCACTTAAATTCACTTACTATAAGTGTTTCACTATAATCTGACCCAGTACAGAATATTTTCATGTGTCATTTTTAGTTGTATTCATGCATGTAAAAAATATTATTACTATTGAAGATTAAAGGATTACTAATTTTCGCAAACTGTAATATATATGGAGGAGGCACATGTGTCACAGTATTTCCATCTATAATTGAGCCATGCTAACCTGATATTAGCTGACAGGATGAGCCATCAGCTGGGAATCCTTTGATGCATGTACAGATACCACCTGATATAGAGTCACACGCTCCATATGTGATGCAGGTGCTGTACGGCCAAGCAAACTGCTCTTCACACTCACATTGGAAGCCAGCATCAGTGGAGACACAAACTGTGTGTGAGAATGTTAAACATAAATGCTATATACTGTATCAGTGATATAGATGTTTTTTTGTCAACAAACCATCTCAGAAGTAACACTCACCTGTAGTGACAGTAATATCTTGGATCTCTGTGACGTTATCAATTTCCAGAGGAAAGCTGGTAGCATTCAGGTTTGATAGGAGCTGCTCATAGTTTTCTGCATTTGATGTATTTATTAAGATGCTTGCTGTGTAAATCCCAGGGTCCAAAAGAACTGCAATAGTTAATGTTTGAAATTTATATCTATTCTTTTCTACAATCAAATAATATTTTGGTAGTCCCTATTTTCATAACATTAGGATTAATCAAGCCTTTTACTGCTTCAAACTAACCATTCCTCTTCTGTCGTGTGTGAGAAAGAAAGGCTTCACCATGTGGTTCCTGGAACAACAGAATCATTTCCTTGTTATTTATATGGAACATGAACCTGTGTGATCGTGAACAACTCCCGCATTCTGTGTTTACTGTTGCAAGTAAATAAAGTGGGCTTACTAGAAAATCCAAGACTGGAGAGTGAAAATGAAAGTTGAAGTTTCCTTTTTCCAAGACGAGCAGTGTTACCAGGAGGACTAAGATGGTCAAGATCCTCTTGTTTATTGCCATTCCTTTAGAAAATATTTCAGGTTAATGCTGAAGAAACAAAACAAAAGACAAAAAACCCACAAAGCCATTAAACATTTGACACACAGAAATATCACCTGACTATTAATAAAAAAAAATTACGTTACTTTTTACAATTTAATTTACACACCTAAAGTATCTATAATAACTATACCATATCAGCTTCCTCAACAGAAAATAAATGAACAGCTGTCACAGTAGAATATAATGATAAATGGATATTATGACCAATTTGACCTAAAAAGGTAAACACTGTCCACTACAAAAGTAATAAAACAATCAGTAAAACTGCTACAAAGAGTAATAATTGCATCATAAAGTTCATATGTAATGATGGGGGAGTGCAGGCCCAGTGGTTAGGGCTTAGAGTTTGGAGTTTGAAACCCATTCCCACAGACTGCCACTCTGGGTCTCTGAGCAAGACCCTTAAGCCCCAGGCACTGCACAGTGGCAGCTCACTGCTCCCCAAAGGGGAAAGGTTAAATGCAAAGAGGTAATTTCTCCATTGTAAGACCAATAAAGTTCAATTTATTTATTTTTACTTTTTATTTTATTAGCCATCTAAGTGATAACATACATAGATTACTGTTGCGAAGTGCAGCTGAAACAGAACTGGCTTAACTTAAAACGGTCTTGTCATGTACTATGACTAAAAATTCATAATGCCTTTTGTCGTGTCCTTTCTGACAGGGCAGACCCTTACAAATGTTTTATTAAAAGCAAAGGAGAAAAGCTTTGCTTTCACAAGTGGAGCATTTTTCCAAATCGTCATCGACCTCAAAACCCATCCATGCAGAGAAGGGCCAACGCAATCCAAAGACTTTAAAACACCAGTACATAAATTTTGCTGCATACAAAGATTTTCCTATCAGTCATTGTCGGCTGTGATGAGAATAAGAATGGCTGAGTTGTCTGAGAACTCCTGAAGGTGAGGGCCAGGGGAGTAGATGGAGAAGGTACTGTGTAGCAGGTGAACAGAAAAGATGTGAGAACTTCCCCCAGTGTTGGTCCCTGTACTGCGGACCATGGGCGTGCACACATAGACACTAGGTGGGGCTAAAGCACTAGGAAGTTTGCCCTTTATCAATGAAAATGCCCTTTTGAAACTCGTTTTTTTTTTATTATTATTAATATTATTAAGATTTTACTGAGGTCGGTTTTGAAATGATCTTTTGAAAACCTGAGCCATTAAAAACGACTGAAACAATGCCCCGAAATAAGCCACCTCCTTGCGCACACCCGACCAGCCTATCTCTCTCTCCCTTTTTCACGTGAGCTCGCGCGGTCGCCCGCAGGGCATGCCAGATGTGCAGCATCATAGCAGTTCAGTAAGCGTCTTCAGATAGCAGGAACGGTCGCTGACAGGCTGCTTCTCCCGTGCCCCATTAGCCAGGTAATATACAGATCAATCAAAATCATTTTGTTGTGCATTAAAATGTCTCATTCAGCAGCAACAAACAAGCATTTTGCCGACTGGTCACCTGATAAACTAGTTAGACTAGATAAAGTTTTAAACTGTAGCCCAAGTCAATGACAGATAACGTGAGGAAGACCACATAGGCTACAAATAATTTCGGTAGAGTTTGCAATTGCAAATCTATGTGTTAAGACAAACGTTTTCTGTTGTATAGGTTTTGTTAGGCAACATAAATTAACACATTTTTGTCTCTTTACTGTCTTAATTGTATATTGATTTAGTAATTGCAGCACAATGCCAAGAAAGGAGGGTTAATTGTATTGAAAAATCTTAAAAGCTGTTCAAATTTTATTTTTAAGTGGTTTGTACAAAATCAGCAGGTATTAAAATAGCTATTATTTTGTAGGCTACCATAAGTCATATCCACGTGACAAGACTTCCAGTCATGTTGTCCTAATAGCCCATTATTTAAACTAATGTGGCATATTTGTTAAAGCTATTATTATTATTATTGTCATGATGGTTATTATTATTATATTGTAGCCAGTCAAAGCAGGGAAGCTCTATACCATCAACATCTACCAGGACAGGAGATGAGGAAGAGTTCAGGGAAGACACAGAGACAGAAAAAGACCAGGATGAGGGAGAGCAGATGGATGAGGGAGAACAGCAGGGTGAGGGAGAACAGCAGGGTGAGGGACAACAGGGAGATGAGCCAGATGAAAGAAAAAGAAAGATGAGCAAGTAGTACACTTTAGTCTGTTCTGTTGGTGGTGTGACTTTTTTCCATTGAAAACTCACGTTTAGAGAATGTTACAAATAAAAGTCAAATTTCATTCAACATGCGCGTGTATTTTTTTTTTTATAATTAAGTGTTCCACGTGCGCTAAAAAGTGCCCTCCCCCCCTCCTGAGCACCTGCCCCCCAAAATGTCTGTGCACGCCTCTGCTGCGGACCATCCTTTCAGATACACAGCCCACTATCCTTACATGCTGCATGCAACCACTAAGGCAGGGATGTGCAGTTCCAGTTCCTGAGGGCCGGTATCCAGCAACTTTTAGATCTGCCATTGGTTTAACACACCTGAATCAAATAATTAGGTGATTAGGAAGACTCTGGAGGAACTGGCTGCATACTGTACTTAGGTAACTCAGTCATTTGACTTAGCTGTGTTGGACCAAGGGTGGATCTAAAAGTTGCGGGATACAGGCTCCCAGAAACTGGAATTGCCCACCCCTGCAAGCATGCTTGGGGGTTCACCCCTAAAGGATCGTGACTAGTCCCAGAGAAGTTCAGGCTAGATGGTATTAAAATGAATGGAGAAATTAGAACACGATCTTTACAAAGCTTTTGGGATTCTGCAGGATTCTACATTGTAAACTCCAAAAGTCTGGGGATGCTGTGTCTAGAGTCTGTTGGTAACTGTTTGGGAAATGCCCCTACTGTAGCTCAGTTTTCAATCTCGTTGTATCCTTGGACAAGACACTTCACCCACATTGCCTACTAATGGTGGTTAGAGGACTCGATGGTGCCCGTGTGCGAAAGTCTTGCTTTTCTCAGTGAGCCCCAGGGCAGCTGTGGCTATAATACAGTTTTCCACCATCAGTGTGTCTTTCTGAATGGGTTAAAAGACTGAATGGAGTGTAAAGCACTTTGGTCAAGGCTCCTGATTTTAAAAAAGCACCATATAAGTAGAGGCCATTCAGCATGTCACAGGTTGCTGCTGTGTAAACAGAAGAGGGAAAATACACTGTTTTTAAAATGATTCAAAAAGAAATTTGTAAACTTATGGGCCAGAAGGCCTAGAAAGCCAGAAACCAAATGTCCTTATTGCAGGTTTTCTCTTTGATAGTTTAATAACCCAGGCTACTCTAACAATTTTTCACAAATAGCCAGACAGTTTCTCTCCTCTTACAGTTACAAGAGTTAGCACATGTTTAAGTCTCAGTTAAAAAGTCCAAGCTGCTGTAGCCAAGTTAATAGTGTCAATCTGGGAAGATCTGACTTTTCCTACAATGATTAACAGAATGCCAAGTATTTCCATCCACGATGGTTAAAAAAGCCAGATACAAGCATGAGTCTCAAACCTCTCCCTTCCATCTAGTGAGAAGCACGGGGCTTCTCATGAAGGCACCACCATAGAGCTAGCCTGGATAAAAATAGTTGATGTCTGGTTTAAACAATAGACCCCAGTCTACACACCTGGTCAGCGAATGCAAGTTCACAAAAACAGAAAAATAAAGCAAAGTGTGCCCAAAGCTGTTAGTTGTGCACGTGCAAAAAGTTAGGCTAAAACATAAACACACAGCAATAGCAATATAAAATATTCTCTTCACAAAAAATTAAATTTTGATTAAAGAAAAGATCAGTTGTTTCTAATGATAATAACTTTTTTCCTACATATTCTGTTTGTCTCAGCTGTGAATTCCTTATTTAATTTGAAAAAAAACACACAAAAATACAAAAAAAACAGTCTCGAATTGTCTCACAGATCCCTGATCTCTCAAGCCATACTTTGACTTTACTGAAGTTTAGACAACCATCTTTCATGTTGACAGATGTCTGTTCACACACATACCCCAGGGTGTTTCCAAACCATACAAACCTATAGTGACGTGATCTCTTCAAGATGACCTCAGCCGAACTGCTCCAAGAAGTTCCCTCATAGCATTGCTTCTGTTTCAGGAAGATCTAATAAAACCAGGGTAGCATTCTGGTCATCCGGTTTCTGATTTCAGGTAGGAAACCTGTCAAGAATAGTACCTCATGTTTAAATCAAATATCTAATTCAATAAAGGTCTCTTATGTTCCTTGCATTTTCTGAAGGTTTTGACTTGGCTTGCAATTTTCTGTCTGATATATGAAAATATTTTTTTTTATGTAAGATAATATGTATTCCGCTGTTTATTAGATAACTTATATTCTGCTTGTGCAGTTTAAACAGCTCTTATCTTCACCTTATTTAATTGTGCGTAACAGCTAAGAGATAAGCTTTTGTTGTGAGTTGGGGAAAAAAATCCTCTTACATACAGTAATTGCATTTTTATAGTCCCTGCCAAAACTCTAAGTTCCTGTTGGTTGAGTGTCAGTGAGGAATCCCCTACCAAACCGGTTCCAGTGTTACATCTGACAGAAAAGGGCCTAAAACTTCCGTGACAGACTTATTGTCTTGCCAAAAAAAAAAAAAAACTGTGTTTAATGCCTTTCTTATGTAAGGAGTTCAAAGTATGCAGTTGCATGATAATGGTTGTTCTGGATCACATGACGCCAGCTTTTTCTCTTTTTTACATACATTTG